CTTTCACATGAAAATGATTAAATATAATCGATAGAGAAATGATTTTAACGTAGACTGGTTATGCTTAAAGTCAAATGTAGCGTCAGACCTCTATGGTAAAAGAAGTGCAAGGTTGGTTCAGGCAGCGGTCGCTGGACGTGCACAAAAGTATATTTCATCGACTTTGGTAAAAACATTACACATAATAATAAGAAGAAGAAGAAGAAGAAGAAGAAGAAGAAAAGAAGAAGAGGACGAAGAAGAACTATAATACTGGGAGGGCATGGTTTGATTAATGTGAAGGCTCTTCATGATAGAATTGTTTTGTGCACATTTGCACACATTTATTTGTCTGATTATCCTCATGTGAATCATGTCAAAACAAGACATTCCACAGTTTTCTTAAACGAGACAAGGATGTGGGACATAATCTCCATGTCAATGTTGATTTTGTTGATGGATCTGTACTACTTGACGGTACAGATATGTGTGTCAACCAAGTGCCAGACTCAGTTTTGCAGGGAGAGGCTTTCTGAACCACCACTGCATCGAGTTCAGTGCAGAGTGTTGAGAAGATCAGCAACCCAACAGAGCGCTTCGCTAGGATGAAGTCGGATGGCCTGAAAAGTATAATAGAAGGTTTTCTGTTTGCTGCTCAGGACCAGTCACTTCCCAATCGAAACCGTCAATGTGTTTTTGCATCAAAATGTACATATGAAATGGGGATCATGCAATGAATTTAATGAGACTGTCCAACATATTGTCAGTGGATGCCAGCTTTGGCACAAACACAGTATCTTAAGCGACATGAAGGAGTGGCTAGATCCTTTTATAACCGTCTTCGCTATGCTTGTGGTTTTGACACAGAGGTCCATCCATGGTACGACTGTGAATATGCAGAGGGCGTTATGGAAAATGATAAATACAATATTCTTTGGAAAAGGCCGGTATACAGCCTCAGACGTATCCAGGCCCACAAACCTATCATGTCCTTTTTGATAAATCCAATGAAATCGCTCATATCATTGAATTTTCTGTCCCTTTTGACACTAATGTGATTGACAAGATTTAGTAACAACATGGCGAATACGCGGACCTCGCTTTTGAAATGTCACGCTTGTATCCCCAAAACCAAGTTGTACGACTCCCCATTAATCTCGGTGCCTCAGGTTTGGTACCTCCCAATCTGTTGACTGACATTGGGAGAGTACCCGGGTTTTTTGCTAGAAATACAGCCCTTCTGACAATCTAGGTAATGCAGAAGGCTGCAGTGTTGGGAAGCCCTCACATTCTCCGAAAAGTTCTGAGTGGGTTTGACAAGGAAGCTCTTCCTGTGAGAAGTCCCATTCGCTGGGCTGCGTGTAGAGGGGGCAAGGGCCCTGAGCTGATGATGAACCTAACCAGCCTGACTGTGCCAGGATCACCCAAACCCTCTTTACGGCATTTTCTATTTTAGTCTGTAAATAATAATAATAATAATAATAATAATAATAATAATAATAATAAATCCATGTTTTATAATGCCATTTCAACCAAAATGTACTTTTAAAAGCCTCCTTAAAAGTCAACGAACTCACTATCCTCTGTTTTAATAAGTCCAATATCGTCTGTTCTATTTTGGTCCCAAAACATACTTAACGTTACCAATGACGTGGACGTAACGAAATCAATTTTCGCCCATCTCAGCTATTGCACCCAAAGTAGATTAACAGTGTCGTGTAATATGTAACATAATACCGTGGTGTTTGCCAATAGTGTTCCGGATGTAAAGATGTAAGACAAAACAAAAACTCAAATCTTGCACCTTTCAATAATATTTATGTCATCGACTACATGGTACCTCATAATTCTGAGGCAATGTTGGTACATACTCGTGGTACCCTCAGGCATTTAATTTATGACAAAGGACATAAGCATGGTTCTCTTACAATGTCAACGGCGACACGTTGCAAAGACCTTATGTTCAAAGATATCAATGTTTGTGAATGTGCGCTACCATCTCATTCAAGGATATTACACTTATGTCATCGACTACATGATATTACATGGAGGATATTCTGAGGTAATCCTGGTATATGGTACACTTATGTTAACGTAGAAAACCTGAGAAAGTGTTTATGATCATTAACGTAAATATTGGTGTATACGACACAAGTAATGTCCGCTGCATCATCTCTTGTTCGGCCTCTTCACTTGTAAGCCGTGTCAGCATCTGCCAGGAACTGTGACCTCTCGTCCTCCCCAGATTCCTCCAGCTTGTCACCCGTGCCATGTACCATGAACTAACATCAATCAACGATGTGTGAAAACATACATGTTCATCAGGCAATTGGCTTGGGCAATTCTTCAGAGGCCATGTTACTGACAGGTCACCGGTAAGCAGAGATGGAGCGAGTGAAGTCTGGTGGTTAATCCATATCTCGGTGTATTGATATTGATCCTTTTGACCACGTTGTGGCTCCAAGGGGCGGTCGTGTTGATACTAGCAAATACATGTATGAATTGCACGCTCTGCATTGAGTGTCCAGTATTCAAGATGATGGTTTCGTTACAAAATGAGACTTTGATAACTGTTTGGGTTAAATTTCCCCAAGAGGGAAGGGAATTATCACAACATAATTACCTCATTTTCACTTCTGTTTCATGTGAATATAAAAAAATCTACGGCGCTATGATTACACAAAATTATATCATCTTGACGTCTACATTGTTAGATATGACGTTCTTAAAGGGACGAGAGACAACTAATTCATATTATTTTATATATACTACTCACTAACGCCCATGTCCAGATCTTCTGCAAATATATATTTGGTTCTTAATATATAGTGAGTTTTCCAGTATGATCCAGGTTGTATGGTGATTGCTGAATTCATATTGGATATCTGTGTTAGAGTACTTGTTCATAGTTCAAACTGTTCACGGAGTTAAAACTTAGTCTTGTGTCCAAACATGGGTGCCAACATTGTAAATCAAACCAATTGGCAGAACATTAATTCAGTGCCCAGACACAAACCTTTGTTTTGATGAAAACGGAACTCTTTATACTTTCTCGTATCACCAGCAAATAGAACCAATTCCCTGTTCGCGGAAACAAATTATATTTCGTGATTCCGTCTGAGTTTCGACATTGATCAAGCACCGGCTTTCCTCTTTTGAAAACTCTCCAAACTGGGAACATTATCCTGACTTCACATATAGGTTACCGAGGTAACCGCGTCTCTTCTCGTCTGAGAAGGGGATACCTCACTTGAAATAATTGTATTATTATCCATAATCGAAAATGTGTTTCCTGTTTACCCTTCCTTAATGAGAAGGGATCACTTTCAAAGTAGCAAAGTGCACGCCGCGAGTCATGATAAAGGCAATGAATGACGTCCTCATATTCGCCACTCAGTTTTGACGTCACCAAAGTGTATATGACATTAACGTCATATTGTATTCACGGTCATTGCACATCTATGGAGTTGTGTCTATTAGTTAGGATATCACAGCTTAGTTCGGATATCACTGATTAGTTCGGGTATCACAGATATATTAGTGAGCCCATGGTGTTTACGTCACAGACAGCAATAATACAGCTTATCAGACAGTCTGTATATATTTCGAGTTTAGCCAGGCACTCAAGTTGTTAAGCAGCGTTGAAAGCAATGGTCAGTCATGTCACATATTGTGGCCGCCCGATTCCCTTAACTCGACTTCTATGACAAGCATGAGATATTGGGGGACTCGTCTGACCTGGAATCCCAAAGGGACTCGACTCGTGCCCTGGTACTGCTTATCAAACATCAAGCAGACGGAAAGGTTATTTTGTAAGGCCATGACTATGTAACCTCTACCCTTGACTTGAATAATGATGACCCTCATTTGACCATATATATTCTGTTTGAAGGTAATGCCTACATACATGAAATTTGGACAACTTCGTGGTGTATTCATTTCACGTACTTTGGCCAGGCAATTTGGGGATTTGATCATTTAAGGTTTTGGGGTATGGTGTTTTCGTTGAAGGCAAATAATTCTTTTCTTAATTAAATCTCGACACATGCAAATATGGTGATAGATGAGGATTGGAAGCAAATTGAGTTTGCTGTTCATTATAAACGAAAAAAATAGTATCTGTGACATTGCTTCTTTTTATTGTTCTCCTAATATTTGTGGACATATGCCTACTGTTTAATTTACATTGCAGATTTGATCATCTGAAATTCCCAATGGTACCATCGCCCCTGATGTAATTACATCTCCAATCTTCAATCACTGTCAAAGGACTATTTGATTATATTTGGAATCCCTATTCAACATCATTTTACTTCTATGCAACTCTGTATTATCTGCAATATGGAAGATGTGATGTGGTGGTGATATATAATACATGATATATATCTAAACATACAGGATTATTACTGTGTAGGAGTAACAGAGATGCATATATCGGCTCGTAAGAAGAACACAAGATGTGTATATGTCAGATGCAAAGAATTTGCTCGGCTACTGTGTTCATGGTTGTGACCGGTATGCGACATGTATGAAAAAAATAAATAACAACAACAATGTGAACAACAGCAGTAGCAATGTTTTCACTTTTTCAGCTTCATTTTGGACTTTCCGTCACCCACCTATCCCACACCCACACCCACCCAAACCACACAGCGGTTATTCGAGAGGAAAATGTTCATACAAATCCTTACCATGCGGCCAAAGATAATAAAAAGAAACTCTGCCAATTATCAACGTATCTCCTAATAATTTCACAGGTGAATTTACATGCCGGCGTTTATTTATTCTGTATAACATTCCACATTCACCATTACATCATTAAGTCGAAGATACAAACCGAAAAAGGAATTTAACAGCATTTTATTGAACAAATGAGTGGTGACTTCTAGTATTACACGCCTAATAGTCTACCCATGTCGGACGACATTGTTAATAGGCCCTTCACAAGACAGTAGATTTCTCCCAGATGCCTGTAACTGAATTTCTCTCACGTTGACTGACTTTTCGATTGTCGATTACAGTGGTTCCAGAGTCCGAGCCAGTGTTTGACGCACCAGTGGTCAACGTTACTGTCAAAGCTGGGACGACCGCCATCTTACCATGCTCCGTCAGGTTCCTCGGTGCGCATCAGGTAACGGAACTTTTGCAAGTACACTTTGCAATAACTTTCAGGTTAAACAATAAGGTTTTTTAAGGGTCTCTTTATCGATGTACAATGTTTACAGAATTTTGGTATATGATACAATGGTAACTTATTATTTCGTTGGTCCTGGGTTCGAATCCCGATAATGATTCATCGTACATATGAACATTTTGGGCCAGGACTTCTACGAATTGTGCAAAAATAATTTTCATAAAATGAGATTTTACGTCAAGATAAAATTTGTTTGTTTGTTTGTTTGTTGTTTAATGACGCACTCGGCAATATTCCAGTTATATGACTGCGGTCTGTAAATAATGGAGTCTCGACCAGACAATCAAGAGATTGCTATCATGAGCATCGATCCACGCAACTGTGATACGATGACATGCATCAACCAGGTCAGCGAGCCTGACCATCCGATCCCGTTAGTCGCCTCTTACGACAAGCATGGGATGCTGAAAGCCTATTCTAACCCGGATCTTCACGGGTCGCCATGATAAGAACTGAAATACTGTTAAAGCGGCGTTAACCCCAACTCACTCACTCGCTCTCAGATTTATTCTGTTTAAGGTCACGTTACCATCTCATTCTATCGAGTACCCATTCACTACTGCGTGAACACAGTCATATTTCGAACAAGGCCGCTGGGATTGCCTACTAGTTAAAGCGTTTTAAGTGTCCTCCGCAGTGATATTGCTGTGATATTGGTTAAAGCGGCGTGAAATCATACTCACTAACTCACTCTTATTTCGAATAAAGTCACTTGCCTTAGCAGACATCACATGTGTTACATGTACTTCTGTTCGAGGCAGGGATAGCCTTGAAACTCTCGGGAGAAAGGTGTGGAACGCGGTCCCCCATCCAACTACACGATCTTAATTCTACCTTTTTTGTGTGTACACAAGACCAAGATTAACGGTGACTGGCGTTGAAGCTGATGTTCATGTATATATGTTAACGTAAAAGCCGTTATAAAACTGAGATATTGTTCAAATCGGCCTTAACACCAACTTACTCGCACTCGCGATATGGCAAAAAAAATACACAATCATCAAGCGAAACCTCGTTAGGCGGAACCCGTTTGTCTAGAAATTAAACCTTTAGGATGATCTTGATATGACAGTCCGCAAGATTAGAAATGTCAGCCAAATAACACCCACCTTCCTGGCATCCATTTTTCTCATATCCTGTACAAAACAATAAGAAAAGGAATCGTTTAAAAATATTTAATCAGAATGACAAGCAGCCATGGATTAAGGGGAACAAAGATCAATATCCAGGACCAAATTTCATTAACTTTGGAATGCGCTCTTAATGCTTGCAATCGCAGTACTTTAGAGAGTGTTTTTTAAACAGACATTCTCTGTAATTTGACCTAGTTCATGATTTAAACTTCTCGTACCTTAAGATCCTACTCCTGATACAATATCTCAGATCTCAGGCTTAAATGTTTGTAATATCTTCAAGTAAAGATAACGACATTTAAAAGAGCTCCTGGAGTATTATCTGAACATATAATTTCATATTAATTGACATATTATATTGTGTGGACATTTTTATCAAATTTCAAAAGGTTAAGTATAATTTCTCTTCATGTTTTGCTTAAAATATATACGAAATGAGGATATCTTCTACAACACAATGGATATGTTTCAAATGGTGCATTAGAGTCAACAAATGACTTATCTTGCATAACCTCATTCTCTTAAAGATCAACATTACATAAACATCAAAATTGCAATTCATTGTTTTATCATTCACATCAGTGGATAATATATATATAGTATATATATAGTCTATTATGACCGTTCAGTCCTTGAAAAAACATTAACTGTTCTTTGCAAATAGAACAAATTGGGGCACGGGTGGCTGAGTGGGCTAAAGCTAAGCCGCTGCGTTGTTGCGTTACACCAGGATAACGTGAGTATGGGGTTAAATCCTATATTCAGAATAATTGTGATCAATGGTTTATCAGTACCATAGCCGTGCCCGCTGCATTCATCAAATTGGTAATTATGGTAATAGTAAGAGCTGCATCACTTCGGGCTTTCCTCCCACATCAGGCTGACACGGCCATGATGTAACTGCAATACCAGTCAAGTGATGTTAAGCCCAGCTCAGTCACTTAAATGTCAACTCATCATTCAAATCCAAACTTCAGAAAACATTTAAAGAACAAATGGTGAGGATGATTCTGCCTTATATGAAATTAAGGAATTTATGAAGAAACGTAATATGTCATTTGCGATCAGTGTGTTTGCTGATGAACTGCTCACTGCCTATATCATGGTCATTTTTAAAACGTCCTCATTGACATCATAATGTGGAAGAAAATTCCATGCGCAATTATGAAATGTAAAATATTTAAATCGATACAAATGACCTCACTCTCCTCGACTGCAATGAGAAAATATATGCATACACAGTAAGAAGATTAAGACGAATATGTTCAATAATTAAAGCTTCATTAATCGAATTGCACACATGTTTATCTGGAGTCCAAAAGTGTCACATTTATCAATCAGTAATATTCAACTTGTATGTAAGGGATGCATATACATGTACAGATATCGATCATAGTTTACTTCATCAAACAATTTGGCTCCACGCAAATTCCTTCGCATTAGAATCCAATTCATACAAGATGTTCACATTTCTCATTCTGAGTAGGTACATTGACATGCATTGTAAAACATATAATATTATATACTATTCATTACAATAATGACACTCCTATATGAATACTGGTGACATTTAATCGTTTATTCAACATTGATGTGAAGGAAATGCGATTTATGTGTGTGTACCAAATATTATTAACATCAGCATAAATAATTTATCTCCTGTTCAATGCTGATGTATGAAGGTATACAGCAAATGGTTGCGCGTGGTAGGAGAGTTGCTACCTGTCTAGGTAAACTTGACTCCTGTTCTAGGGTTCCGATCAGGAAAGCCTCGGGCTAGTGACTTTGTTCAGGAGTTGGGCTCTGTTTTCCGAGCAGTAAATGGGTACCCGGTAGTATGAGTTGTGAATGGAACTTATGGTAATTAATGTTTGGGTTCTTCACATAACCTGTCTCCAGGTGGTCTGGACGGACCAATGGTCGACTTTACTGACGTTTGAAGACAGAAGGATAATTGACGACGAGAGGATCAGTGTTGAGAGGCCATATACCAAAGACTGGAACCTGCATATCCGAGCAGTGAGAAGCACAGACAAGGGCGTTTATAACTGTCAAGTCAACACAAGCCCAGTCAAGATTAAAACAGTCAACCTGTTTGTTCAAGGTACAGCGATCCCAACATACCAATTTTCAGCACGTCAAAGTGTAGCAAAACATTAGTTGGTTTTTATCGTGTGTATTTACGTTAAGCATGGTGCCGAAGGAAAAGTGGTTTAATGATATTCCTATGGTGGATGTTGCAATTCATGAATAATACATTCTATAGAAAAAGTAAAATGTAGAGACACAAATATCGAGCACGTTGTTAGCCACTAGGTTCTTAACATGCGATGAAGAAGTGAATCTTTATATTATAAAAAATATACATGAGAGTCTGTTGTTAGTTTATTCTAGCGAGATTTGATAGATTGCATGTCAAAAATTATCAGTCATGTTAAACATACTTAATTTCTAAGCATGTATTTATTATTGCTGTGATTGCTTTTTGGAGGATAGAGATGTGAATTTCGAAAAAAATTAATCAAGATAGACATATAACTTTACCTTTTTAGCCTAGATCTAGACAATATGAATAGCTCCAGATCTCAACCTGAGACACTCGGAAATGCATCTTATCCACAATAGCTTCATAAGAGCTTCAAACATGTATACATGTATACATCTATATACACATGGCACAAAATGCCTATCCCGCCATTGTGCATTTATCTTCATGGTCTTTGCAAACTATGTCTTACAGCGCATAGAAAATCTAAATAGGATTTGTCGTTGATGTTTAACTGAATGCACTATTTTCCCGGTTGCTTAGGCTCTTGAAGGTACTATGGCATCTGAAATCTTATATATTTAAGAAGCATGCTCTTTTTAGTCCGCTGGTGCTTTAATTTTGCTCTAAACAAGCCTTGTTGAAGAACAATAACGTGTTATGGATGGCAAAGGCGCTCACCTCAGGGAAATAAAAAAATCAAACACAACAATTCTAAACTCAAAGGATTTGTGTGGTTCCTGCAACGGCCATTTCTTAAAACATTTATTATTTGATTATTGTGGAATTAGCCTCCGACATAAAACATTCAGTGTGCACACACAATGTTGACCCAGCAAAAAGGGTGATTGTAAAATGCCCAATCTTCAAGCTAATGTGATTAGGGAAAAAACATTTGCCAACCCGAAATCTCATTTAAGCCCATGTTTTACTGGATCGTAATAGGAAACAAGCATATTTTCAATCATCAACGAATTTAACGTAATTAATTATACAAGGCCGATGATACTAGCGGTATTTAATAACTTGTATATTGACATATGACGCATGCTACTTTTATTCACCGACCCCACTTTGGCTCTCTTTTTATATGTGATAAAAAAAACTTTACTTTGTAGAATTTTTCTATGTTTATGTTGTAGTTCCAGCGAAGATAATAGCCGATTTATCCTCCAGTGACGTCACAGCGCTTGAAGGAGAGACATTGACGCTTGTATGTAACGTGACAGGCGTTCCCATGCCAACAGTCACGTGGTACAGACATCCTCTGGAGGACGATGGTTTGAAGCAAAGTAAGTTCAAGATTGGGATGAAAACATTTCTTCATCTGGGATAGAGATAAGATTAATGTTTTTAGAATGTTTATTATACTTTCTAAAATTTTAAATTATATCAATTACATAACGTTAAGGGGCAAGAAGTCGCCCAGTGGTCGACGGCGCCGCTTCCCCATTAGTGTCAGACCCGCTCGTGTTGATTATGACCATTAGCGCGTCAGCACCACATGTTCACGTGGCCTAAGTGGTTTAATGACTTCGAACTGCTTCACTTTTGGATTTCTCACCACCAAGCTAACACCTTGTGATGAAAGTGAAATACTGTTTAAAGAGGCGTTAAACCCATCTCACTGAAGGCACATTCTGCGCTCTACATCGTTGATACGTTGACATCAATACTCTCTTGGGGGCACGGGTGGCCCAGTCGTCTAAGGCGGCGCGATTCGCTGTGCAGAGTTGCGTCCCTTGGGCATGCCAGAAACCTATGATTGAGGGTTCGAATCCCGGTTAAACCCAATTATGTTTCTAGGTTTGTCAGCACCATACCCGTGCTCGTGGGTTTCACCGAAGTGGTAAACGTCTGAGACCTGCATCACTTCGGGCTTTCCTCCCACATTAAGCTGACACGCCGCGATATAACTGGAATACCGTTAAAAGCGGCGTAAAACCCAACTCACTCACTCACTCAATACTCTCTTTGGTTTGAGATGTATAAGTGTACCGCCCTCCCTACCTGTTTGTGTTGTGGGCAGGGACGCCCCAGTTGTCTAAGGCCCTGCCATTCGCTATGCAGAGTTGCTTCCCTTATGAGTGTCAGAATCCTATGATCGTGGTTTCTATGTTACAGCACTATAGCATAGCCATGTGCTCATGGTTTACAACGGAGTTTGTTGTTTAACGCCGCTCAGCAATACTCCAGCTATTCTACGTCGGTCTGTAAATAATCGCGTCTGAACCAGACAATCCAGTGATTGACATCTATCTACGCAATTTGGATACGATGACATGCATCAACCAAGTCAGCAAGCCTGACCACCCAATCTCGTTAGTCGCCTCTCATGACAAGCAAGTTACTGAGGGGCTATTCTTACCCCGATCTTCACGGGTCTTACAACAGAATGTTGAACGTGTAATTATTGCTTAAATTTGGGTGTCCCCACCCACAGCAAACACACACACCTTGGTATGACTGAAATAATGTTCCAAGAGGTGTCGAACCACATTCACTCTCATGTTTGAATATATTTCCAACATTATCACAGTACGACATGTGCATGACACTCTAATTACAGTTTCAACATACAGAGTACTGAGAACAGTTTCAAATTGCTTCAAGCTCATCGTGTCATCTGCATGCTGTTGCTCGATTATTAGTAAAACAGGCATACAGCGTTTCTTAACTTACTGTAAACAGCATTCTGTTTGCAGCATTAAGATTTATACTCCCTAATGACAATGAGCAAGAGATACCAAAGTGTTAGTCGACTCAGTTGAAATGTATTTCAACGGTAATACCAACCAGAGTATCATACTAATATCTGCCACAAGAAAAGACACAGTTCAATCTAATTGGCACCGACATATACACATTTTACATTATACAAAATACAAAATACACTTTAGAAGCATAATCAAATCACAATGATGACTTGGAATATGATTACTCCAAAATAACTCACGCCGAAGATAATGTGACCAGCAGTGACACATGTGTGAGTGTGTTTGGGGGGAGGGGGAGGGAGGGGACGTTGGTAGAGATGGATCTCCGAGTGGTTAAAGCATCTGCTTGTCACACCAAAAGTGATCCCCCGAAAGATATTGTTGGAACACTGTTTAAATATTGTAAATCTATCTTCACTCACAAAGGCAACGGAGATGGATAACACAATCAAATGTTGCTTTATTTCGGAGAAAACAGTATGTCCAAAATAAACAGAATTGAAATCAACAAAACCTCCCAAGTTCAATAATTCTCTTTCACATCCTGAGTGTAATTGTGGTTTATACGCCTATTTCCCATGCGGCAAGCTCGTGATCCATACCGTGGCAACAACCTAACCTTCTCCCAAAGGCGATAAAGCATTGACGCCGTGGCGAATATTGCGATACAAAGGAGACATTGATGGTGTAACAGGCAGCTGAGATTGATGCGACCTGTAGCGCGGGGGTTATGAATGATGGAGGCATCTCTCAGTGTCATGTCTTCAAACATTGTCCCCGACCTCATTCGATCGTTACGCGGTTGGTGGTCAGATGAAGTCGGTGCTTGTGGATTGTTCCGTTCATCAATGAAACGAAGACAGCCACGGACACTTGGGCAAACCTTTATACTTCGTTAGATAACCACGATGGTTCTTTTAAAAGTCTGTTTTAATTGCATTTTGATTAAGTTGATTGCATTCTCTATTATCGAAGATCTCAAATGTAATCAATGGTTTCCAATAATAGTGACAAATTTTGGATTCTTGTTTACCGCAAGAGGATTTAGAAGCACATTGAGTTGTTTTAACTGGTATGTTTTTAAATGTAGGAAGAATACTTTAAAATTTTATACGAAAATTGTCGATTTATTAAGTATTCATTTTTTAAGTGTGTTTCTTATGGCATCATTCTCATTAAAATTAGACCTTAGTTCTCGCTTCCGCTAAACAAAGATGTGAGGACATCCCATTAGGGGTCACGTCAGAACGACCTTACATCCGACCAATCAGAGCGTCCCTTACCAGATCAGTGACAGTCGGAATGTGATTTCTAATCATGCAACCTCGAAAACTTAACACGGGGTATTCCGAACGATAGTTACGGGCTTAATGACTGAATCCATACAATCTAGACTATCTATTAGCCATTCCAGAATGTTCTTTTGTTTAGGTTTCAAATTTTTAATCGGGAATTTGTCAAAATATGTTTCGAAGCGTAGTCGCCAATTTGAAATTAGTGCCGTAAAGCACGAGTAAGCTGCCCTCTGATTGGCTAATGTCGACTTCCATGTCATTCAATGTCATTCCATGGGTCGGTCAAGGTCGGTCTGACGTGACCCGTATTGGGGTGTCCTCAGATCTTTGTTTAGCGGTAGCGAGAACTAAGATCTGATTTTAATGAGATTGTTGTGGCATCTTTCGGCATTGATATGAATTACTTTAAACTACCTCAATGCGTGCTCCCAGCCATGCAAGTATAACCCTCTCGTTTATATGTATATCCTTCGTATAATTATAGGGACATAGCCATCTGGAAAATACACACTCACTGGGTTGCGTGACTCGATAAAATCTAAATTTACTTGCATGTTCAACATTTTCCCCACATGACAATTTTCAAGTGACACAGGCAAAAACGTATAATTTCAGGAAAAAAATATAGTGTCATTTTTTTCACCATACAGGAATCGGCATGGACGGTGAAGTCCTTGTCATTTACAACGTCAGTCGATACTGCAGCGACACCTATGAATGCGTCGCATTCAATGATGTTCCTCCAGCGGTCAACAGACAGATAAAAGTAACCGTTCAGTGTAAGTTGCGAGTCATCGCAGTTAATTGTCACCCTTAGCAAAAAATATGAGGATTTTATTCCAGTCAACCGATAATGCTTAAATAACAAGGTAAAAATCGACTCGAACCAAGCCAGGAATCCCTAAATATAATTTGTTACAGTAACAAGCTTTTTACATTTGATTTTATTAAATACCTTTTTATGCAGATTGAATCTAGGATCGGTTTTATTGTTTCTTCGTCATCTTGAGGTCGTGTTGCAACTTCAAGTTGTCCTTGTTTCTCATAGATCAAATAGTTTCAGAAGCATTACATATTGCATGTGACCTGATAATGCCACTGTATGGAATGCCACCGCTTTATCATTTACCTCGTTAAATAAAATAACTTCGATAAAGCTGTCTCTTGTTTATTCTTTCCAGGACCGTTTGTTTCTAAATTCAAGTCAAATGTTCACTTTCATATTTATACGAGCATTTACAAATCCAAAGTCGTTATGTTCGGATTTATCATAAAGGCATCCCAATACTTTACAAGCAGCTCTATAACAAGCACTATCATTATGTTGCTGTGCGAACAAGATAGAAATCGAATGGAAAGCGCTGTCTTTTCTCCTTCCACTGGCCCCTTTAACGTCGATAGTAGCATCTCAAAGTATCGACCCAATACCACCGACGGTCACAAACCCAAGCGGCCATAAAATACTGGAATCCAGTCCCTTGAAGATATGATAAACCATTTTATAGCCGAGGTGATAAAATGTAATGACGTATTTCCTGAATACACTACAAATATCCCTTTAAGACACAATACAACAAAAACATTTCTAGTCCCATTCCGTCTCAGGATTTTGTTTTGTTGTAATGAAAGTCCCTATGCAAGTGTTAAGATTGCTTTCAAGAATTCATTTTAAGGGGATTGTTTACATAGTACATCATCAGCAACAAAAGTTCTCGGGTAATTGTTTTAATGCATGCCTTATGTGTCCTTGCAATTGTCCGTAGCTTCAGTCACTATTTCATAACGTCAGAAATGGTGGTTGGGGAATTTATGTTTGATTGCCATTGAAGATTGACACTCGATTTTAATATTCTTTGACATGGCCCTTTAAAGGGGAAGTGTACACGCAAAAATCACTTTCTTTCTTTTTCTAAACAAAACGCAATTTTAGAATTAATTAGTATCTGTGTTAATATACACTCATTTTTTTCACAGTGAACGTAGGAAGCTCACAATAGTGTGAAAATGATATGCCGTTATGAGGCCTTCGTTTTTCGAGCTAAACAGGCCTGAGTTATCCCCCTTAGATTATGACGTAATTGGTGCCAATTCAACTGGGTCCCTGTCTATTCTCAACGCAAAAGATATCAAGTACCAGTTTGCGGTAAAACAACATGGCCTACGACACACTCCGGCGCAGTGGTGACTCAGCATAACACTATGCTGGCTGGCATCTGAGACGCTAGAATCACACATCTGGACCTACACCACGTGAAGCGGCTCTAACAAAGCAGGATGACGTCATAATGTTTATCAATTGGCACCAATGACGTCATATTGCAAGGGGCATAAGCCATGGTGTTTTTGTTGGGGAAATAGAACACTTGGTAAATGTGAAAAATATAAATCGTTTTAATGCGAAAAATATGTTAATTAATTGTGATATTTTTATATTTTTGTCTATGACACTTCTATGTTAACACTTTTAATGTGGAAAAAGTACAAGAAAAATAGGTTCATTTCCGTGTCAACTTGCCCTTTAATGCTGATCAATGGCCATATATCGAAAACTGGTTTCTCTACTCCGACGTTATTATGTGTCATTATAAAGCGAGATAAGTCCCCTTTTGCTTACTTGTTCGTTGGCTTACAGTTCCACCGGAGGTCAGATTGCCTACCAAACGCATAGGACAGGATGTTGGCAGGGAAACCATCTTAGAATGTGTCATTGCTGGCAGCCCACAGGAAATAAGCGTATGGATTCGAAATGGAAAGGTTAGTTCCAGTCATTTTCGGAGGTTATTTGGGTTGTTTCCAAACTTCAAAATCGAACACTGTATGGAAATTCGTTAATGTTTCAAGTAATTCATACGAATATTGATTTCTCAAATCCTTTATGCTTTTCACAAAGGTAGACGGTTAAGAGGAATGAATGTTTGTAAGCAATGTTTATAGTCACCTCCGGATATGACGAAGTCGGTTATAACGAACCAATGTAATGAAGGAATGTAAAGTTTAACGTGAGTAAGATTATAATTCGGATATAACAAACACTTGCAGTTCGTTGTATGAGAACCTATTTGTATATTAAGAACAGATCAGGACATCAATAAGAATATGAACAATTACCTGGTGGATATGTGGGTGTTTTTCTATCTTTTGTGATAATGCATTTTTTTACATTGGATTAAATGATTGTTGTGTATCTCCGTCCTGACATTGTTCTCTCTTTTTTGTAACAGGAACTAACCGACAGTGAAAAGTATCGCATTGAGATATACGAAGATAAGGACCACACCATTACTCTGAGTTTGAGGATTAGAAATATCAATGCATTCGATTTTGGCCAATATACTTGTATGGCATCTAATATACTAGGCAAAGACAAGGAGACGATGCAGCTTTATGGTAAGATATATGTGTATGGCAATACCGATTTAAACCGAATATGGGTTCCTGCCACTGGACTCCGTGATTTATGGCGGGTTATAGGGACTATCTAACATTCCAACAAAGACGGTAACTCGGATCTGAAAGTTTCATTTTACATCAGCAATTGACTTTATGTGGAACCCAAATATGTAGAAATATCGTGTGTAATATTTGCACATGTACATTTGAGTGATTCTCAATACTGTCTTTTTGTGTTAAAACCGTAGGTCATAGTGCTTTATTGTTGAGAAAAATGCTATATGTCATCCATTGTTCATGACGTCACAAATTGATTACATTACGTCATCTGAACAATAGGCTGCCGTCAGTGAAGTTACATCGTGTCATACGCTTTTCTTTATATTCTCTCTTAAAACATGTCTGAGTAACATATAGAATAACATACTCGCAAACACCTAATTAGGGAGGATCATCCGCCCCTCGTGAATGAAAACTTTGAAGTTCCTTGCCGAAGGTCCACGGTTACCACAATTCATTCATTCGGGACATATTCCTTAATTCCTCGTAGTTCGTTGTTTTTCTCTAATTGTGAACCGTCGAGCGGGCGCTTGTGTGTGTGTGTGTGTGTGTGTGTGTGTGTGTGTGTGTGTGTGTGTGTGTGTGTGTGTGTGTGTGTGTGTGTGTGTGTGTGTGTGTGTGTGTGAGCGTGTGTGTGTGTGAGCGTGTGTGTGTGTGTGTGTGTGTGTGTGTGGGGGGGGGGGGGGGGGGGGGGTGGATGGTTGTTGGTTGTGTATGTGTAGAAAAGGTGATAATTTCAAGAACGTTCACCCGTGAATCATTCCACAATTCATTCATTCGGGACATATTCCTTAATTCCTCGTAGTTCGTTGTTTTTCTCTAATTGTGAACCGTCGAGCGGGCGCTTGTGTGTGTGTGTGTGTGTGTGTGTGTGTGTGTGCGTGCGTGCGCGTGCGTGCGTGCGTGCGCGCGCGCGCGTGTGTGTGAGCGTGTGTGTGTGTGTGTGTGTGTGGGGGGGGGGGGGGGGGGGGGGTGGATGGTTGTTGGTTGTGTATGTGTAGAAAAGGTGATAATTTCAAGAACGTTCACCCGTGAATCATTCTTTAGTTACGACGGTGACACAAGGTATCCGCGATACGATTGAACATGCTCTGAATACGCTGTTCATACAACAAAGTCTCTGAGAGAGGGAGTACTGGAAAAAGGAAAGAGTTCTCTAAAGTTAGTTGTTTTTGACAAAATTCTGAAATATTGTGATCTTTTGTCGATTATTTATAAAAAAAAACAATGAATCCGTACATATGATCGTATGTGATATGCGATATTTAAAAAACTAGAATACTATGTTTGATGACATTATTTCCATACGAAATCGTCGATTGACGACGTACATACATGATTTCACAAATAGGATCGTATTTGATAAAAGATACCTCAAAAGATTTTTTTTTCATAACAAGAACATATTCCTTACACAGAAACACATCTACAATGTTAATCGATTGCTGGTGACAGCCACATTGTTCTCCAACAGTACGTGTAATTCCTTCTCTCAAAAGGTTCAACTTTCCTTGTGTCATTTGTTTGTGCTTTTCGAAAAACAATAATGACTGGTGTATATTATATATTACGCCTTCGCTTCGACAAACATAAATAATAAAAGGCTTGTAAATGTAAAACTTTCAACGTAACCTCAAAGAAGTTGCCTTTGTTATATAATGTTTTTAATTACTTTGTGAGAATATTATCTCCTTTCCTAATATATAGCAAATGTCATATGGATTAAATGGACCAGAGGCATCTCAAAGTGATAGAAACATTAACTGTTTCATCTCACTGATGGCTGAGACACAAATTCCGTGTCAGACAGACTGCTGAAGTGTTCTTTTAAAATAATATCTGGGAATTCACAGTGTGTGGCGAATTAGCGATTTCTGAAATGAACACCCAAAGGCAATTTTACATCATTCGGAAGATAATCTGTTCAAAGAATACTGAGGAAAATCACAATAAAAAAATAAAATGTTGGTGTATCATAAAAAAATAAAATTCGAATTGATGACATCATGCTTTGATGAGGATAGTGTAAAATTAAATTAAAGAAAGAGTTGGCAACGCTTTGCGTGTATTATTTTTTTTAGTGAATGAATATCAAGCCGCAGGACTTTACGCTAAGTGGGCTATGTTTAAAATAACATGGGTGTAAAGACGCGATGGTCTTCTTCCAACATGGAAGCCACCATATATATCTTGCTATGGACATGACTTAATGGTGTGGTTCTATCTCCTGCAGATTATTCGTTATACAAGAAGACAACGACACAGTCTCCCCCGACAACGCCCCCTCCCTTGTACACACCTTTTTCCCATTACCCCTTGGCCACACAGAGGACCTCTGGGTATGGGGGCCGCACGGAGCTGCAGTTTGTTACCATTAAACAAACGACGAAACACATACCTGGAAACAATGGTAATGGTAACTATATGGTTCAATATATTTTCAATATGTTAACAGTTTGACTGATTTCTTTGTTTAAAATAAAATAAACTGTAATACCAAAATACCAAAAGTGACACTACGTGTGCCACTATTCAACATAAGTACCGTCTAGACGAAAACTGTGACAGGTCGCAAAAGGTGTTATTATAGTGTTAATCTGCTCAGGAACAGCAACGCTGTGACGTCGGTACACGTCGTGACAGAACTCTTTGCAACCACAGCAACGATTGCCATATTCTTGTCAAACCAATGGTTATGTTTGAAACGAAGACGTCTTGATCAAGGCTGTGTTTCATCACAGCAACATGATTGTTAAGTTTCTTTTTCTCCCCTGGCATATGAGAAGAACTACATTAAGTTAAAGTGTCACCCAAAACAGACATTCTCACAAACATGTTCACGTATAGAAAAATCACTTCTGGAAAAAAATTGGATTCTCCACTGTCCTCTCCTTATATAACAACTCATTAGCTATGTATCATATAAAGCCAACATGTAAGGAGATATAAACTTTTCTGACATATCACGTTTTTATTCCTGTAGAAGATGCTCACAGACCTTTAGGAACCAGGAACAGCAACGCTGTGACGTCGGTACACGTCGTGACAGAACTCTTTGCAACCACAGCAACGATTGCCATATTCTTGTCAAACCAATGGTTGTGAAACGTGGGAAGTTTAAACAGTATTACATATTTGCTCAACCAACGCCGTCCAGAGACTTCCATGTTGTATAGATACTAGAGAGACACATATGTGGAGTACAGTAATTTTTGACTTCATTGGGTGGATGTAATGGTTTTTCAACAAGTGGGATACACCATCGCATTCTACCCTGACACTATGGACTTACTGCCAACATGGATCATGATATTAATATTCAGATCTAGCAGTGTGTAAGTATACATTTAAGTTTTTATGTAGTATGGGCATGGATTGCTGTGCAGAGTTGCGTCGCTTGTATTGGGTTCGAATCCCGATTATGTTGCTGGGTTTGTCAGCACCATACCCGCGGACGTGGGTTTCACCGAAGTGGTAAACGTCTGATACCTGCATCACTTCGGGCTTTCCTCCCACATAAAGCTGACACGCCGTGCTATGATTCGAATACTGTTAAAAGCGGCGTTAAACCAAACTCACGCACTCACTAAATTTGTACTGTGTATTAATGTCTCGAATAACACGTTTAATATCAAACACTTACAAGATTTGTATTTGGCAACTCATTATATTCAAAATAGAAACGTCATTACGTATATAGATACCTCAGTTTTAGATGTAAATGAATACATTTTTCTGTTGTCCATTGAAACATTTGTCTTAATTATAAAGGAACACATTGTATTAAATTTTACGTTTCAATATTTCTTTTTTTATCAATTTCACTCGTACATTTCACTCACCTTCTCCTCAATCATCACTAGTTGACAGTGATACATAAAAACATGTTCATGACATGGACGGTATGGTACAACGGACTCTGGTCCAAAAAGACATTCCTTATGATTATGAAATGGGTTTTGTCGCTTTTATACACATTTTCGTCAATGTTGTTTTATTAAAAGGATTAAGAAACAGTACTCCAGTCACATGGGGCAATTAGGCAGATTGAAGGTGTATCCCTTTCTTTCAGCGTATCAATTATTTCTGAGTTATGTGTCTGTGATATGACAACTCCGTCAACTTAGGTTGGCACAGCTGGACAAGGGTATCGCGCTGGTACTCGACTGGTTCCGGAAGAGAGCTACGAGCACAGTAGGAGCTCTCGATGAGTAGGTTTATGTGGGAGGTTTAATTCCCCACATGCACATATCCTTTTCCCCTTATTAATAGAGCTACAACGGTTGCACATGACGTAAACGCTCAACAGTTTGTCTTTTTTCGAGCGTTTCCTTTTTTACTTTGTAATGTACTGATGTAATAACTGTCTTTGATGTTGAAATATGAACCAAAGAAATGTTTTACAATTTAGTCAACTCACTACTGTCATTTTGGCACATTTCAAAAGTGAATCAACGAGTGATGCTTGTGGAAGAATTCACGAGGGATGTTAAGTTTCCATTTTGGTTCATCTGGACCAAAAGACTATATAACCTCACTTTTCCTGCGACTGCATAATTCATTTACGTGATTTTATCAAATATAAGTTATCCTTTTTTTCTGAAATATTTTAAAATTTTGAAAATATTCGAAGGTCTTGTCATAAATCACACTACCCAGAGATTTATTTATGTGGAGATTGTGATTACCATGCATTGTGTCAGGCTGTTCAATTCATCGTGATCAGAACGCAACTCGGCCGTTAAGGATGAAGACGGAAGAGCATATGCTATGAATTATTTAGACCCATTTGATGAATTCAGCTAAAGCACTTAGTTCCTCGAGTTATATTTTTTGTACTGACCAGAATGAAGTCCTCTGTTCTTCAAAGCATGACAAATATTTGTTTTTAAATTGAAAATAGTTGTTATTCAAAGTGCTTTAAAATAGTACTCTTAGAAACCGCTTACGTGTCTGTTATTTAGTACCTACGTGTCTGTTATTTAGTACCTACGTGTCTGTTATTAAGAACTTACGTGTCTGTTATTATGAAAGCAGATATCTTCGACTTCTTCTCTAGAACCGATCATTGTATTATCAGGATGTGACTATTTGTACATGTTCAAAACCGGATTTTTTTCTTAAAAAATGTGAATTTCTTTTTAACACTCGAACATTTTAGACTTACAAGATTAAGCTCCGGTTCATTGTTAAATTGTTCCGAAAGGTCGACATTTGAAGGTTTTGGGAAACACAGTGACTCATCTTTCTACGAGTCCGGACTTAGTAAGATTTTCTTCCGAATACTGAACAATTTTTTAATGATATAATACAAGCCATGCGTCTGTACGAAATGTTGTTCAAGTAAAACACTTGCAAGTGATGTATAGGTGGACGCTTCCGATAAATTTCATACTCTTTTTGTAATGTTCAAACGTTGGAATTTGAAGTTCTTACGGACCTAAGAGCGATCTTACTGAACTAAATGAACTCGAGAAAACCCTTCCAATATTCATAAGAAATATCTAATCAATAAACAGGGTTCATTGTACGATTCCGACTGTATAATCAGCATGTGTTTATGAATCACTGTCAAATAGTGAACATCATCCTTTGAACAGTCTATACAAGTTTCATTTTTTCCCTTCCTCGAGTCTTATTTTTGCCATCGTAACAAACAATGAGGCGAACAATATTTACACAATGAAGGGACATCTTATTATTATTCTAATGGTCAACATCTGCAAGATATAGGAAATTAAAAATATTAAATCTCACACTGCATATTGAAGGTGCAGTATTTGCCAAAGTTATGTGTGTTATATATAGAATACTAAACCAGCTCCCGTGTAATACCAATTTTATGAAACGTTTGAATAGTTCTGGTATCAGATACCAGCACTATTCACGAGTTGCATTAAATTGGTACTACACGGGGGCGAGTTTAGTGTTATATTGATTACTTGCCGTTTAAAACCTTTTTTAGAATTTCAATGCCGTGTGTGAATATATGCAGAAATCTTCGCGATCCAAAGCATAATCCCATGGCGTTTAACAAAACAATACTTCAAACATGTCAAAAGTTGACACGTATTTATTTAATACAATGCAACGGCCCACCTTAAGAATTCATGGTTCCTTTCCAGAAAGTTACTGTAGCGTTAAGGTTATCAGTAACTCCCATATACCTAGACGTACATGTGTCGTGGCGCTTCAATCGCCTTGTGGATCTGGGTCCTGCACAACAAAGTTTACAAACACGTCACAATACCCTATGACGTAATTTGTGAAATTTTGTTGCAAGATCCACCGGCGAAACAATGCCATGTGACGTCAGCCAAGCAACGGGGTTGCTGCGGTTATCAAGTGTGCATAAGCTCCTTTCAGTGATCTATCATCTCCCCGCGCAATGTCGTATAAGCCGTTGAGAGTTTTCAATATTTGTTCGTGAAACTTGTTCCCGCAGTACATTAACACGCGCTTTGTTATTACTCAATGTGTAATACAGCTGTAAGTTTGTAAAAAGGGTAACCTCTTCACGGGCAAGTAATAAAGTATATTATGATATTATTTCTCTTGTTCAGAACAGCGATAGTTTCGTTGATCATGTGGGGCGGTCGGGTAGCCTAGTGGTTAAAGCGTTCGCTCGTCACGCCGAAGACCCGGGTTCGAATCCCGACATGGGTACAATGTGTGAAGCCCATTTCTGGTGTCCCCCGCCGTGATATTGCTGGAATATTGCTAAAAGCGGCGTAAAACCGTACTTACTCACTCACTCACTCGTTTTTCATGTAAGTGTGGGCCATATTCTGATTTGTTGAAGAACGTGGTTAAATTGGATTTATTGCTTGGAAATCTTCTGGATTAATCACGGCGAACAAATTCGTTTCTTGTATTGTACATGTCTCAGTCGCAAAAATGAAATGAAAAGACGTCGTATTCGGCAGGTCGACTTGAATAATAAATTAACAAATTATTTCATTTATTTAGGGTTTGACAGAAAGCATGTACACCAGTGGAATATTCTTTGTATACTGCTGACTACGTATAGGTCGGATAATTGAGTAATTGAGTTTCTGTAAATTTGGTTTAACACTGCATGGAACAGAATTTAATCGTTATCACGGGTCGTCATGTGGGAGATAAGTAACACATGGTGTGTCTACCGCTTTGTTGCAACCAACGAGGACACTGACAAACCAAGGTGAATTGGGGATCACTGAATCCTGTCGAACGAAGGGACGGAACTATTGCGCCTTATACGAATTGTGACATTTGAAACACATTCAGGCATGAACTATTCAGTTAGACGAGCAAGCTTCTCCAGGCACCACTGTGCCTGATTGATTCTGGTGTATAGTGTCAACGTGGCCAGTTCCACCTGATTATGTTTCTAGGTTTGTCAGCTCGTGGGTTTCACCAAAGTGATAAACATCCAAGACCTGCATCACTTCGGGCTTTCCGCCCACATCAAACTGACACGCCGTGATATAACTGGAATACAGTAACAATTCAAAACCAAATTCGCTTTCGCCCTCACACACCATAAAATGGTCATTTAGGTAACTAGCTGTTTGAATGTACATGAAACCATGTTGTCAAAACATATTTCAAAAGACGTTTAGTTTAAATATATTTTATTGTTCAAAAAGACAATGGGATTGGGTACAAGCGCAACGCGTGATGGCGCCGTCGGTTCCTGATGCCGTCGGTTCCAGATTCAGTCTCATAAAAATCAGATCTTAGTTCTCGCTACAGCGTAACAAAGATCTGAGGACACCCCATTAGGGATCGCGTCAGAACGACCTTGCGCGAACTTTGACCGACCAATGGAATGACTGACAAGAAGTCGACATTGCCAAAAAGAAGGCAGCTTTCTCGTTCTTTACGGCACTAATTTCATAATTGCCGACTGCGTTTCGAAACATATTTTGACAAATTCTCGATTAAAAATATGATACCTGAACAAAAGAACATTCTGGAATGGCTAATAGGTGGTCTAGATTGTATGGATTCAGTCGTTGAACCCGTAACTATTGTTCGGAGTTAAAGTTTTCGAGGTCGCATGATTCGAAATCACATTCCGACTGTCACTTTCATAATCTGATCTTTGTTTAGCGGTACTGAGAACTGAGGTCTGATTTTAATGAGATTGCCGTCATATTATTGTCGTAAAACAACAGACACACCGCATCGGCAATGTTTCGGTTAGATAGGTAAACGTGAATCTAACCTATTGGGTCTGTAACAAACCTGCGAAAATTATTGATCCGTAAACCATGCCACACTGCTAAATGTAGATATTTCTCTAAAACGAAAATACCAGATAACAAAGCTCAGTAGGATTTGATAATGATTATGATGCTTAAATGCCTCGAATTCATTTTGCATTTTGTTCATTCACATATATGTTTTGTTCAGTGTGATGATCTTTCAAAAATATTATACACAAAATTTTGTATTTTCAGTTGACAAGAAACACCCTTCAGCTTCCAAAGCGACATGGCTCGACCGTGTATATTTTATGTGCGCTTCCAACAGCTGTCAAGGGTGTCGATGAAGGGATGCTTCCAGTGACCATGTTCCACATAACAGTACCAGTGACTACGTCATTGCTTTAAAGTACATGTACAGATAACCATTGATGTCAAAGCACATACTATCGCATATATGTATTGTAAATATTGCAAGTGTTCTTGTTATATGTTGTGTTTAACGTTCAACCACTGTTTCCATGTTGTTTGATATAACACGGTAATCTCCCTTCCCACGTGTTTGCCAATTGTATCTCGCGTTCACATTCAATGTGAATAAACAAAAATATATGTGCACTTCTCACGCTGTTCTTGTCAATACTGCTGATATATATATTTAACAATTAAAATGAACATTCTTTGAATGTACATATTTCCTTATGTCGAATATTTCCTTCCAATAGTGTACAAGACAAATCACTGTTGAGAATACTTGATTCATATTGCAGAATATTTTCATTTACTAGGCATGCATGTACATTGACAAAAAAAACATTATTATAGAGACTACCATAAAATAATATAATCTCGGAATTTATGTAGAAACAGAGTAAATTTGGTACACTGTTGGCAATCTTGAGAATATTCTGGGAAGAACTCGTATGCAAAGAGCAAATGTTTTAAGTAAAGGGTTTAAGATTCAAGAACAATATGGTACCATTGAAACATTTACGGCGTGAGATCTACTGGTTTATTGTATTGGTTTATATTCTGGTGTACGAATAGGAACAGTGTTGTGCATTTACACGATCATTGGTAACCGTTTGAACAGAGGTAGACATGATGAACATATGAATTACTTCCTTTGTGACCTGTGAAGATCCGGGGTAATATAGGTCTTCAGCAACCCATGCTTGCCGTAAAAGGCGACTATGCTTGTCGTAAGAGGCGACTAACGGGATCGGGTGGTCAGGCTCGCTGACTTGGTTGATGCATGTCATCGATCCCAATTGCGTGGATCGGTGCTTATGATGTCAATCACTGGGTTGTCTTGTCCAGACTCGATTATTTACAGACCAACTACCAACCAACCTTGTATTCTTTCAACAACGTTTTGGTACAGACGCAGTTTCCATTACCAGACAACTGAATATGTGTCAACCATTTACAAATGTTCATTTCTTCCGCCACTTATGCTTGCTATAACGGTAACTGTTACATGTCCCGAGTGTTTATTGACGCATTGTACATTTCACTTGTTGTTGTTTCAAGTACATGTACTTGTATGTCAATATACTCATGACATACATGTCTTGTACACGTATTTCAGTCATGTTCAACTGTTGAGTATCAAAGCATTTCATACACAACCGAGTGAGTGAGTATGGTTTTACGCCGCTTTTAGCATTATTCCAGCAATACCACGGCAGGGGACACCAAAAATGGGCTTCACACATTGTACCCATGTCGGGAATCGAACCCGGGTCTTCGGCGTGACGAGCGAACGCTTTAACCACTAGGCTGCCCGACGCCCCTCATCCACTGCTCATCAAAGAAGGTATACCATGTTAAGGGTTAAAGGCGTTTCTGTCGAGAGCAAGTTAAAGGACTCAAGGTACAAGAGGTTCATAAGAACACACCAGAGACGTCTTCAGCGTGTGGTATCAGCCAACATTGTCAAAATACTTTTCTAATATATAGCTTTACTTTGGATCACCAATCAATACTCGTATATAATATATTATTTTCTCCGTGGTTGGTACTGGTATCTGTGTAAAGCTGGTTATTGTCCATTAGCGTCTTTTTCTAATCTTCAACGATACCTTGTTTGACAACTCCTTTGTGTTCACGATGCCATGAAAAAACAGTCATGATGTGTGAGGTCAAGGTGACATTTAGCAATCAATACTCCCTCGTGTTTTGCGTTCTTCTTCTTCGTTCCCTCCTAACTGAATAGAAGGCCGCAGGATGCCTTCAGTGTCGCGTAATTGTCCTGAATTTCGTTCTGAAATGCCTTCCACAGTAACATCTTTTTAGTTACAATTATTTTATAAGTTTAGACTACATTTAATGTAGATTTCAGATTTTGACTTTATTAATCTAAAGAACTCAAGAAGTCACATTCTTTTTATTGTCTATTATAGTAATTTTACTCAACTTGGCAGTTCCTGTATACATAAAAGTGTATAATGAGAGCGGAAAAGCAATACTGAAATGGCAAAATAATAAAATATTGGTCATCTGCAGCAAATATTAATTGAAAATTAAAATAAGCAAAACTAGATAAATCTAGTAATATTTTTTGTTCTGGTATTCTGGACAATGTATCCTACGTTATCCTTAACTTAATATAACCTATTATTGATGAAAGAAAAAGAGAGGGACTCTTCATCTTTTCATCTTGTAATCCTTCACTGCCAAAATTACATTTTCGCCAATTTTAATATTGTTTAAGGCCCAGTTGATACATTGTACAAAACAGTGTTTGAAATATGTGGTTTTGTATCATTTATGTTAATAGTATTGCATGTGCTGTTACCATGCAAATTAATTATTATTATACAGATTAAAATAATGCAGCAAAGAGGGTTTGGGTGATCCTGGCACGGTCAGGCAAATTAGGCTCATCATCAGCTCAGGGCATATGCCCCCTCTACACGCAGCCCAGACAGCGAATGGGACTTCTTCCAGGAAGCGCAGCCTAGGTGAACCCCACTCAGAACTTTTCGGAGAATGTGAAGATTCCCCAACACTGCAGCCTTCTGCATTACCCAGATTGTCAGAAGGGCTGTATTCCTGGTAGCAAACCCGGGTACTCTCCCAATGTCAGTCAACAGATTGGGAGGTACCAAAGCTAAGGCACCGAGAACAATGGGGAGTCGGACCATTATTATTATTAGTATTATTATTAGGGCTCCAAGCCGAAAGGCTGTAGAGCCCTATTGTAATCGTTCGATTTATTATTATTATTATTATTATTATTATTATTTATTATTATTATTTATTATTCCGCCGATTTTTGTACCTGCCCTAGCAAAATAACCACTGACCCGATTTTGTTCAAATTTTGTGTGGGTTTGTAGACCGTTGGGTACTAGTGCCCGCCAAAAACCCAAGGCCGTAGGCCCAAAGGCCAGGGGCAGATAACTGAAAAACAAGTATTTTTTTAAGATATATTTTGCCCTGCTGCTCCACAACCGCTTGTCTGTTTACTTTCAAACCTTGCATGTATCTACTGCTTCAGTTGCTTAATAATTTTTGTTCTTTGACTTTGGTCATTGGTCACGTGGTTTGGCAGCCATATTGGATTCAAGGTTTTGACAGGGTTTTTTGGGCACCTGTCTTCAAATACTATCTTCTCTGAATCCACTGCATGAAATGATTTCAAACTTTTTGAGAATTGTCTCCATACAGAACACAACAAATTAGCATAGCCGTTTTTTTCTATCTTTTGTAGTTGCGGCCATATTGGATTTTGATTTTGATGATTTATTTCACCGAAATTTTACTTTTAAGATCATAGCTTGTAAGGTTCTTAACAGAAACTATTGAAAGTTTGCATGAAGCTTTGAGACTATATGCAGCTCATTTTGTCCTGGGTTGCATACTGAAAGCACCACTGCTTGGTGTGGTATGATTTGATTTATGTAAAAAAATCAGACTTGAGTACAAATACTGAAGGAAGCGTCTCATAAATCTACCATACACCCCCATTCACTTGCTTTACAGATATCCAAGCGTTCTCCACAGTCTTGTTCTGTATTATGTGTACTACCCTTGACGACCAGGATTAGAATTGGCCTTTTTCAACCGATGCTTGTCTCAAAAGGCAACTATGCTTGTCACAGGAGGCGACTAATCGGATTGGGTGGTCAGTCTCGCTGGCTTGATTCATTTCTCAATTGCCAATTGCTACAGTACCTTATTTTTGACGGCGTTGTTTAAAGCAAACCATTTGCGGATTAGAATATGGTCGAGGTCGGAAATTGGTTAAGTAGACTCTGGGAAACTGTGGCACACGCAAATTTGGTAGCGGTAATGTCCTGCAAACGGTGACTATCTTTTGACGGAGTTGGTACAAGCAAACTATATGCGGATTCGAACATGGTCGAAGTCAAACATGGGTTAAGAACACACTGGGACACATGTGGTGATGTCTCACAAGCGGTTCATTACATTTGACGACGTTGGTACAACCAAACCATTTGGGGATTCGAACATGGTCGAAGTCAAACATGGGTTAAGAACACACTGGGACACGTGTGGTGATGTCTTGCAAGTGGTTCCTTACATTTGATGGCGTTGGTACAAACAAACCATTTGAGGATTCGAACATTGTCGAAGTTGGAAATTGGTCAAAACATCCTGGGACACCCAGGTCATTTTAGTAGTGGTGATGTCTCACAAGAGGTTCTTGACATTTGACGGCGTTGGTACAGGTAAACCCTTCGAGGATTCGAATATATGAACGAGGTGGGAAACAGGTTTAGCACTTTATCTCAGCAATGCGACAGGAACCTGGGGCCCCGACGAACGCAGAACGCTAATCCGTTTGACTGGAGCCCAACTGACAAAGAAGTTACGGCCTGTTAAAGAGTAACCAAGCCGAAAGGCTGAAGAGTCCCAGTGTTAGCGATTGATTTAATATTATTATTATTCCGCTGATTTTTGTACCAGAGCTAGAAAAATAACCACTGGCTCGATTTTGTTCAAGTTTTGTGTGTGTATGTGGACCGGTGGGTACTAGTGCCCGCCAAAAACACAAGGCTGTAGGCCCAAAGGCCAAGGGCAGATAACTAAAAGAACACAATATTTTGAAGATGTATTCCACCCTATTGCTCCGCAACCGCTTATCCGATTACTTTGAAACCTTGCATGCATCTGCTGCTTGAGCTGTTTGACATTTTTTGTTCTTTGACTTTGGTCATTGGTCACGTGGTTTGGCAGCCATATTGGATTCAAGGTTTTCACAGTGTTTTTTGGGTACCTGTCTTCAAATGCAAACAACTTTGAGTCCACTGCATGAAATGCTTTCAAACTTTCTGAGAATGGTCTCCACACATAACACATTAAACGTTATTAGCCGATTTTGGATATCTTTTATAGTTGCGGCCAGATTGGATTTTGATTTTGATCATTTTTTGTCATCGAAATTTTACTATAAATATCATATCTTGTAAAGTTCTCCACAGAAACTATTAATAGTTTTACATGAAGTTAGTGTGCTATATGTACCTCATTTTTTGTTCTTCGACTTTGGTCATTGGTCACGTGGTTTGGCAGCCATTTTGGATTCAAGGTTTCCACAGTGTTTTTTGGGTACCTGTCTTTAAACGCAAACAACTCCGAGTCCACTGCATGAAATGCTTTCAAACTTTCTGATAATCGTCTCCATGCATAACACATCAAACTTAAATAGACGATTTTGGAATTCATGTTTAGTTACGGCCGTATTGAATTTTGATTTTGATCATTTTTTTCAACGAAATTTTGTTTTAAAGATCATATCTTGTAAGGTTCTCTACAGAAACTATTGCAAGTTTACATGAAGTTAGTGTGCCATATGCATCTCATTTATTGTTTTTAGTTGTATGCTAAAAATAACACCGCTTGGTGGTAATATTTGATCAATTTCGTAGCGGCGATTTCCGGTGACATCTTTTGACAGAGTTGGTACAAGCAAACCCTTTATGGATTCGAACATGTTCGAGGTCGGAAATGGTTTTAGAACAGACGTGGACACCCTGGCACACGCCAATTTCCTTGCGACAATACCCTGCAAGTGGTGACTACATTTGACTGATTTGGTTCAAGGAAACCCTTTGAGGATTCGAACATGGACGTTTGTGCACAGTGTTACTTGGAGCCCGCCATTGCTGCTTGCAGCTTTAATTATTATTATTATTATTTATTTATTTATTTATTTATTTTTCCACCATGCCCTCAGAGGATTTGCTTAATTAAGCCCGAAAATCAAAGCTAATGCTTGAAGGTATTTATTTTCTAAGTATGCCATTTGCAAGAAAACTTTTTCTCCTTTTCTCGTTTTAGCTTGGCGATTCCTGTAGTCGATGGTATAATGTACACTTAATGTCTGTTCGCAACATATGCCTCGCATTAAGATATGCCACTTTAACCGCTTAAAGTATTATATCTCCCACTGACATTGTCTGGATATGTGATACGCCCACTTACAGAGGCACATTCATGCATATGGCTTGGGTATATCCCAGTGGCATCAATGATGTAGGTATGTATCAATCCCATTGCATTTTAGAACCTACTATTTTTAATTGAAAAAGTAATTGCTATTTATATACCCATTATAAAATATTATATCAATTAAACCAAATGTGTAACGTTGGAAGTCGCCTTTAGGGGGTTTTCTGTGTAGGTCAGCATACGTGTGAATGGGAAGCCGTAAATTCAAGATATTTCATTATAGGAAACGATATGTGAATGTGGTAATCAACGCTTAACTCAGAAGTAGAGACGCGTTCATTTTACCCTACCCAATGCACACGCTACAGCACATGATCTAATCTCACCCTCTTACAAGAAACCCACTATTGTATTATGCCTCTACAAACAACAATTGATTTTCTGACTTTTACCATATAATATGACTGTTGCGGTCGTTTTAATCGAAACATGCCAATCATATTTGGACCTGAGTTTTATTTTCCACGTCCCCCTGTAACGCTTTTATCGTTGTCTGTCTAACCCAATTCTCAAAGGAAATGGAATAAAATTTTCTTGTAAAATTCCAGAAGTAATCAGACTGCTTCTGACGTTAAGAAAATTAAGCAAAGACTAGAAGGCACTGGAGGATCGCTGAAGAGTCCAGTTCGAGGTTCCTTCACAGTATCGTCTATTGATCAAGCCTTCGGTGAAACTGTATATGGCTATGTCAATCAAATCTATTAGTCTCCTGAACTTCCTACCAAGCTTCTGAGGCAAACTGACACTGGTGATTGGCTATGATTGAATTACAGAGGGCGCTGGGTTATTTCAAATGTCTCCCGAGACTTTGTTGCTTCCCCAACACTTGTCAGTTAAAGTGTTAATCTCCCCGTCGAGGCTTATGGGGTGATCATTAGGTCAGCTCCATCGTTCCTATACTTGTAGGAAGCTCAGACAGGTCGCCGGTCAGATGACATGTGGATGGCACATAACGCCAAGTCCACCTTGACCTATCGTGTACAACCAAGTGGTATGGAATCTGCCATACGCAATGTTCAGCGTAGATCAAAGCTAATTGCCATTCCTTAAGACTATGTGAGTAGAGGTGTTACCTCAAAATATTACCCATTGGACTTTAATATAAAAGATTTTGAAAGCAGATTTGCAATCGGCTTAAAGATATGAGTGCAAATAGAACTTTGCAAATATAACAACGTATTATCTTTGTCTGTAAATATTTATAACAATGTACTATTATATATTGAAATCTGGTTGCATGATTAATATTATAATTGAATTATCATTTCACAAAGTAAGTATCGTTCACAGTGAAGCCAATTCAGTTAGTCTTGATTATGTACAAATTATTATTGTTATACTTTAAACACATGTTCTGTACCTTTGTATGTCGTACGCTTAAGTCGTGCATCTAGATTTTATATTCTTAATATACATTAAACGTGGCGAAATCAAATAAACGATTTGATCCGTTCACATTACTGTTCTTCCATAGCGATAATTTCCTGCGTGAAGGTCAGTGGTATTATTCTCCTGTAATGTGGGCGTTTATGTGTTTAAGTGTAACATAATAATACCATACGATTGTGTTAATTTGTCTTTGGTGTGTATTTATGACAAATACCACTCTTACATTCACATGCAATTTGCTACACTAAAGGCGGAGTAAACACCGTTTGTTTGTTTTTGCTGAAGAAATAGAACTGTTTCTAATGCCATATTTAATGCCATGTTCAGACATATTTGTAAATACATAAAGGTCAGTACAATATTCTGGAGAACTTCAGGATATGTTTGTGTTGTCACTATGTATGTAGTTACTATATTGTGTATACAGTGAAACCCCGTTATCCAGACGATCGTCCGGATGTTCGAGTTAACTGTCATTAGGCTGTGTCATTAGGAGTTAAACATGTTAAATCTAGCGCGGTTAAATCTCCTGGTAACCTAGCTCTACATCGAAAGCAGTATGTTTATATCGTTTCTACCATGACTAAATAAAAATTGAACTCTTTGGTGTTAGATAAAACATTGAGTTGCGTGCGTGTTTTGAGTGGGACGTCGCTCTCTGTTGTCCTCAAAACTTGAAATATATTCTCTTTGTAGATTTCTATTGTGGTTTCTGCACGAAATGTATTGCCACTCATCCTTTGAATATTGTAGTAACCGTCACTTTTCATTTTGAAGCTTATAATTGTACATAAATATGCCTACATACAATGACTGAAAAAGAAGTACTGATCTGTAAATATTAGCTTCCGCGGTGACGCGGCCGTCAAATCGGCTGTTTCAAACAAAAACCTCTAGATCTAATTGACCAATCAAACTCGAGTGTTTTCCAAATTCATGGTAGAATTCCACTTGGTATCCGTGTAAGACTTCCGGTATTGTCTTTCTTCCATTCATATAATGTTCATTACTATTTTATTTTTCTTGTCCCAATGCGTGTCATCATAAGCCGACGGCGTGAGACGTTGCTCACAATATCAGTCACTGGATTGTCAAGACCAGACTCGATTACTTTAAAGGCTGGAATATTGCTGACTTCAGCGATTAACAACAACGCAACCAATGTTATGGGATCCGTTTCGGCAGACATTCCAGAATATACGTTTCCGGATTAACGGCATCCGGAATAGCGAGGTTTCACTGTATATCAGTTATGAGGAAATGATGTTCTCAATATTGGCATTATGTTGGTCATGCATTCTATATCATTACTTCATCGTTCAAATATGTAAATAGTATCGTTAGTATGTAAATAAATGTTTTCGATGTACTGTTTCCACCATGCTATCCACGTGACGAATCACGTGCACAGAACGTGAATAAACTTAATTGAATCACCAACATTCTCTGTGTTCCATGAAATACGACTACATATAAAAACATTATACATAGAAAAAATATGTTTTATTCCCAAAACAAGAATGGCTGAGCATAAGTCAGTAATATACATTGCACAATGTTTGTCTACAATAACACTTTAGCTCTGTGAGAAGATTATAAAGTGGCACTAGCATTTACATAACTTACAACTGAAGGACACACCTAGTATGTGTCTATATGTATTCTTTACACAGTCTGAGTCGCTCAACACTATCTAGTTAATAGTAACGGTTGGTACTGAATCCATTAATTTGTCATAAAACACAGCTATCTATTATTCACAGATGGTACAACAGGGTGTTTATGTAAGAGTTAGCAGTTTTAACATCAATACACAAAGCAAAGAGATCATTTCATCATGAAGGGTAGACAACTCTTACATACATATTTTTCAGAAAGCCTATACTGATATTGTTATGCATCCATAATTTAAAATGATAAGTTTTAGGACAAGGATCAAGAACATGATGATTCATACGATTCGTCAATACATACAAGTAAGACTAATGAGAAAAGTTAAATTCGAATGTGTTCAAGAATCACAAAGACACTTCTTTGAATCTTGCTTTGGCATACAGTACATCGATTCAGCTATATGACACTATGTACATGATTTCACGGACATGTATGAGTGATGTATATTTGATTATATGAAATACTATCACCACAACCATGCAGAAATGTGTGTACCACAGGTAGGGATATATAGACAGCAACGAGAAGCGGCAGTACTTAGAGGTATAACAGCCAGGACCCCATTCAGCTGAAGAAGGATTGCATGGAGATCTGTAGTCCAGTGCCTCTCTGAAAGGCATTCTTCTGTGCCCGTATACATGTAGGTAGGAGAAGAAGTGAGATCATGCTTATTTTGTGCATATATATAGGTGTACATGGAATTTGTTATAGTAAAATGACGTTATATGAGCAAACAATTAAAATGTAACGAGTAAACTGATGTTAATTCTATCACAATGCATACACTATTAATATACATGTCTTTGCGCGATAGCATATTATACGTGCATGACATGCTTTTGTTGAAAAATAACAGTTTAACCATTTGGAATAAAAACATAATAATTATTGGGAAAAAGCGTAATAGTGCATTTTTGACTGATTTGATATTTTTAATGCCTTCTGTTCTATTCATAATCCTTTATTTACAAATAGCTGGTTCATAGTCACTATTAGTAATTACATTTAAGAAGTGTTCAAACTTTTTCAAGATTTATTTAAACAAAGTAGATGTATTGCTTATAATAGCAAAACGTGAGGCCACCACTACTTTTCATAGCTTACTCCACACGATACCAAATGAATGTTTATTTTTCCCCAGTTGGTATAGAATTTGGATTTTATTTCCCGATATACCTCAGATGGACTGGAAGCGATGATTTCGATCAGTATTACCAGGTCCCAAAAATAGCCGTTCCTGCTAAACCTAGTTATGTCACCGCGGAAATTCATTATTGTGGGAAATATAGATTAGATCTTACAATGTTTTGGGAGGAAGTATGTGAATCACTTCGGAGTGTCTAAGCATGATCACTCTCCAAGGTCATTATATGGCTTAATCTGAAACAAATTGCAAAAGAACTGGTTTTCCCTGTAAAACTAAGATGGATATTTGAATGATGACTCATTTAGACTGTTCCTGTCCAACGCTATTTTTGCTCGACGCTATCCACAGGAGATGTTCATTTATCCTGACTTGTTTCAAACGGCAATTTTCCTTCACGTCAATAATGTTTGTTTTTGTGGAAACCATGCACTAACAACTTAATTTATCATCTCGAAATGAGTTGGTGATATTGTATTCCATCAATCAAAGTCTTAAATAAGAAAAAAAACAAATATAAATACGATGTATATTAACAATTTATATTTACACAGTTATTCGTTGTTAATCTTGTATTGCATCGTCTAAGTTGGGTACCATTAGTTTGAAAGGTTCTGTGAAGATTCCGAGTGTACAATTTAAAACGTCAACGCCCGAGAATATTCAGTCAATAAACAAGCAACGTAAAAAACGTAAACATAGTAACTGGTCAAGCAAGAAACATTGTATTACGTTATTCTTGAGGAAAGTAGTTCATGTTTGAATATACCTATTTCAAAATGCTATTTCAGCCGATCCTGATATTTTGGAAGTACAGTAAACTACGGTTATAACGAACTTAAAGGGACTACTAATTTTAGTTCGTTATAACCGTAATTCGTTATAAGCATATATACAGCATAACTACAGCATATAGTCGGGACTAACAAGTTAGTTCGTTATACCCGTTAGTTCGTTATAAGCGTGTTCGTTATAACCGTTATATAATCTTGTATATGTATAGTTTGATTAAACAGGATTTTACAAACACCGTCAGTGGTTACTATGAAAAAAATTGGACCTGTAAATATCGTAATCGAGATGTGTGCTCGATAATCGAGATGTGTACTCGATAATACAAATATTAAAAAGTAAACATATAAAGTGAAAAAATCTACTTTTAATTGAGAATACAACTAACAAGTCATATTTTGTTAGGCTATATGTACATATCGTTCACAATTTCATCTCTAATATGTTATGTTCGATGTGCAAAGGTTAACGTTAGGTGCTTAAAAGACGAAAAAAGCAGAAAAATGGACAGAGTTACTTCCCTTTCTTTGGCTATCTTTACCACATTGACATCTATATATAATTAGCCATAACATTAGCGAATGCAATAATGTGTATTGCAGTATTGCATTTCATTTTACCCATGTGAAGAATCAAACCCGAGCCGTAAGTTTGACGTGAGAACATTTAACCACTAAGCTATTCCACCGCCCCTCAAACAATTTGGAATTAATGTCGGTTAATTCAATTTTATCACAGTACACGTCAGCGTTTTCCTCCCTAATGTTGCAAATATATAGTTTCACATACGTAATAAACATTACACAACAATGTTTCTATTCTAGTGCTGTCATACATTTGACTTTATCCTTGACACTGCCAAAGATGGTTAATTGTCTTATGTCTAAAATTAGAGACTGTGTCAGAAGCTTGTCCTCTTAACTGAAAACCTAAATGAACATGTGCTTGCTTAATAAGAACACCTTTTGACTTTGAGAGGCCTCATCAACACACAGATTCAAGGCATTTTAACAAAGACCTACTTGCACCAGAGAATAATAAAGTAAGGTTAAATCTCTATATATAGAACATCTAAGGTAATGCCATTAACAAAAAAGCGACTATTCCAGCTAAAAACCTCGTTCGTTGAAAGAGAGCTTCTAGAAACTTTTAAAGATATAAAAGTGATAGAGGCCAAGAGAATGTAAGGGATCCTTTATGAGAGCTCGTTTAAATGTGTCACGTGTGATGGCACCCTTTCGTTCAGTTTGAATACCGTATGTAGTGTCTTGTGTGTGATCGTGGCTATATGGATTTGTTTTTCTAATATATCACAAAGGAACTGTCTAATCAATAATTAGCTATTGGTTATTTATTCTTTACGGTGCGTGGGATATTAGCCATTAAGTATCCCAAAAATTTGAAATCGTGTTTCAAACATATGTTTCTGAGTATCTGAGGTTGAAACTTAGCGTATAAATTCAAACTCCAGCTATAATGAATAAGGATTTATAATAGTGACAATAATCTGCTCAAAGATATTTTGCATAATATGATTATATTTTGTTTCGGATACAACTATTAAAAACATTAACTTCGTATAGGTATATATATATATATATAGAATCGTGTATATTCAGTAATGAAACAACTCATCTGTTGTACAAATAAGACAGTGGACAAGCAGTTTAGGTCTGTTGATTATCATTGCATTATTTAAAAAATGGTTTATAAAAAATCTCTGTTCACGATAAACAAACAGACATAAATCCAAAGCGCTCAGTACAAGTTCATTTGCTTTTGTTATATGGTCATTTAACATATTTCTTCACGAAAACCGTCTTCTGTAGGGATATACATTTCACAATCTAGAACACCAAAGTAGAGCGTAGGTCATTAGGCTTGGTTGTGAGATGCGGCTCAATAACATTAGTTCAATACCTCGAGACTGTATATCACTGATTGAAGTACCTTCACCAAATGGGAGACTTTTTGCAATTCAACTAGCTGCTTCTTTCAATATTATGAAAGGGCGGAGGGAAACGGTGCTTCCATCAAGCTCCCTGCACAGAACTCCTACGTATCTCATTCTGCCCAAGACCTGACAACAAAGCCTCGTATCTGAGAAGCCTATGCAGATCTCCAGGAAAGGACAGTATAATGCTTCCACAGACACAGACCACGCTGCCTCCAGTGTCGATTCCCAGCTGGGTCATCGTTACAGAATTATTGAACAGCCAGTTAGTTTTTCTGCCTCTCTCTCTAAAAGTGACAAGACTCTCTCCCGAGGTATTAGATCTCTGCTCACATTGCCTCTGCGGATACAACAGCACACGCAACATCACGTGTTTCAATGGCCTTTTTAGGAAGTCCTTAATGAGAGCCAAGTAGCAGCTTTAATCAGTTCTTTCACATGTATAAGGGAACTAAGTACGGGACAATGCATGTGTAATGCTAACTTCTGGATGGGAGGATTGATTGACTGGTCTCAAGGGGTAGGGTGGTGTAGTGACTGAGGAAATTAGCATTAATCTAGTATATTGCTTTAGGTATGGGTTTAATTAGCCATTACCACTACCTCACAGTTAGCGCTAGTGGTAAAAAATCGAAGGCTCAAAAGGAAACATTTGAAATGAAAAATGAATTAAAATATGTGCATAAAATGGTGTGATCGTATGTTTTTTTTCTGTAAAACACTCATGTCACCAATCTCAAAGTCATGTTTCACTTTTTGATAAAAAAAACCTGACTGGGCTATCAGGAGACATTACTGTCAAATCGCTTTCAAGTATAATGCCATAAGAGTTTAAATAAGAAGCCATGACTCCATCGCTCAAAACAACACATTGTAGAGTCTCCCTACGGCTATCACCATAGTCCATCCAATGTGGATAATCTCATTAAATCGCCGGAACCATAACTACTCCCAATGAGTAGACGTATAGTCCTGATGGTCTTTTTGTTTGACCTTGGCCCGTGGTTAATAACAATCAGACTGGGAGTGTACAAAGCTTTTCTCTGAAAGTCATCAGCGAGTGAAGATCCCGTGCTTTGATGTGCGGTTAATGTACAGAGTAGAAACATGTCCTGGACACAAAAAGCAGAAATCCAACTCTGCAATTTAGATGATCCAGATGAAAAGATGTATCCTAAGCCATTAAATTCTACCTTTACTAATGAATCCATAGACACAGATTATGTTCACCGTAGCAAAATGGTCATGAAATTCAACACGCCACCAGCCATTTAGGTCTCAGCAGCATCAACAGCGCTGCAAACCATTTTCATTTGCTCTTGACTGGGGATTCACATACACCAATGTGTCCATGTCTGCTTGAACTGTTGACAGTGGAACTAGCATTTACGTAAATCCTCTACTGAAGAATTGCGCATAAGGTTCACAGGTATTCTGTTCCGGTATCCTTAGAAACAACCGCCTACATTCCTGCACTATTTTCCACTGGTACAACTCTTCAATGGTCGCCTAAAAATTCACTTGTTGCCTGGAATGTTTAGCCCAGTTTGTCCATGGTCCGTTAAAACACAAAGAGGTAATTTGAGTCACATCTAACGCTTGTTTGTCATCAAATGATTTCAAACTGACAAACCCCAAACCAGTGTCTTTGGTTGTAATCTTTGGTGAAATATCATACCCCATGTCCTCAGAAGTGATGTCTCGCTATTTTGCTTTGAAGATGGAAGAGTCGACCTCACACACCGTAGGGGTTGCAATCACAAAACAATGCGATATATGAACACAAGTGTTAGAACACTGTATATATGACACGCGTAAAGTCCGTTGGATCCAGTGGAACTCAATGGTCGTCCTTTAGCACCTGCAAATAAATTAATAGATGCAATAATTTGGTTTCATTTAAATATAATAAATGATATTACTTTTGGCATGCATAAAGTGATGACATTTCCTCGTTTAACTATATATATATATACATGTTGAAAACTGAGTGAGTTTCAAGCGCACTCAGAATTTTTCCATCAAGCTGAAATGATTCTGGAAAACATTACTTCATTTCACAATATTGTAACAAAGTAGACAGGTTGAGACTATTGTACTATTACCTACGGAGGATGTCTTATAATCAGTATCGTTGTCTCAAAGAAAGAGCTTTTATCAAGTTCACATCATGATGTTATTTGAACCGAAAATATTTCATTAAAGTGACTATATTTAAACATCTCAGCACAGCATCAAAGACGCACAGTTTTCCCTTTAATATTTAAGTAGGAATTCAGTTCAATACTGTCGACAGGGTGCAACTATATGATGAGATGTCATGTTATCATGCTAGTACTTGAATAAATTTGGTTCCTCGGGTTAATCATGGTAGACACTCGTCGAACGACGTCATAGTCAGTGTTGGGGTCGTTCCGACCCACAATTGGAGGGTAGCGTTGATCCTCAACTTGCCAACGTAGACGTGGATCGGTTGTAGTTGGTGCCGTCGTGGTAGTTGTGGTTGTTGATGTCGTCATCATCAGTCGTCGATAAGCTGTATAGTCTGAAGATATGTGAAACTGTTATAATACATACAAAGATGTGATTATTTAACATGTTATCATGATCTGATCAGTGAATAAACTACACATATTCTGATAACGTATAATAACCATTAATTGGTCGTGTTCTCCTTATTAAAGGTTGAACAAATAATAAATTTTAAAAATGGTAATGTGTGTTTGGCAGACAGAAGGACCATTTTTCATCGTTTTGTCATATACAGAATGTCAAAAGGAGAAAAACATCATGTGTTTTTTTTATATTTGCGGGTGTTGTTAAGTTATAAGTATGATACCCGGAACTTGCAATTGAAACGTCGTCTATAGGTTTCAAAAAATAAAATTCGCCGCATCGAAATCAGTACATAGCAACACCTGCACATATCAAAACAATTATTTTGTCGGCATTTTAAATATGAAAAAAGCTGTCATTTTCACATGCACCCTCTTTCTACGCGTACTTCAATAGTTGTTACACAGTTTTCAATGTGCTATCAAATAGTCGTGAGACACGCATAACGGTAGTCCTGAGTACAATGACGTCATGCTATAATCAATAGCGTCACATGCTCGCATGACACCATTTTTGTTGGATACAAGAAAATCAATTCAATCGATGTGCTTCTGATAACTGATACTTCAACGCAATATATAATGTATGCGGTATTTATGCTGCCATACCGTGTTTTCTTTTTAAATTTGGGATATGATACATATCCATAAATGTATTTATTCACAGTCAATAGTCCAGTAGACTTTGAATGTCATTGAACAAAAGGTTCTTAGATAACAGCACAATATGTCATCATGTGAACCAAATGCAATCAAATAGTGCAGTTCACCTGAACAAACACGGAACTATATGATGCAAGTGAAAATAGGTAATTGCATAGGCCACCGTTTTGGTCACTTAGGCGGTAAAGTTGGAAATGTTCTCCACATGTCTGGCATAAAACTTTTTGAAAGTTTCAGTAAGGCCTCATGTGCAGTAACCCTGATTAAACAACTTTTGAGCACCAGACGCATGACGTTCTTCGTACAAAGAGCATACTCGATTGTACATGAAAAGTTGTAAAATGTAGACACCAAAGGCTGGAACTGCTGGAAAGGTGAAAAAACACATATTTTCCTTTCATTCTCAACCAGAAGCAGTGGTTTATAAAATGACATTGGTTTTCATGGCAAATGACTTTTTAGACATGCTAACTTTAATTTAAGCATCAACTTATAAGTTATTCGCCCTAAATACGGCAATTTTTGTTACAATCTGCATGTACTACTGGGCTACAATTAGCATGTACTACTATTAATTCGAGACTTTCGCAAGGACAAACATTTTCAAAGACATTTTGAAAAAAGCACATGTATTGATTAAACATTTATACCACCCGTGAATGTACACCTATTTCATTTCATGCAAGGGGAGATAACACAAGAGGCAATGGCGAGGAAGAGACAATCCAATTAGACCAATGCTAAATGAAGATCATAGGGATAATTCGTTTATTCCTTTGCACTCAGTCATATTGGGTATCTATAATAGATGGAGATCTATTTCAGTGATAACGGCGTCTTTATTTGCTGATCATGCGTCTGCAGATCTATGCATTGGCAACTGATTGGGTTATTATCCGTTACTTGACTTCTCGTTTCCTTAGTCTAGAAATGTAACTCAACGCTTGCATTTGTATTTATATGGGACATGGCCTTACAGATCCATTCTATTCACGACACTTTCGTGAGCCATCTGTATAATACCATTCTTTACCATTCCTTGCTATTGACATTGGTCATGATTTGGTGTTAAAGGGTCTTTTCGACGGATGTTGAGCGTACGAGCAGGTACAAATGCTTAAAGAGTGACCATGATCCCTTGTACGTTACATTTTTCCAGTATTTGTCAAGGTCCAAACAGTATAATGAACGACGTGTGTAATACGCAGACAATGTTGCTTTCTCTGCGTACTTGGGGTCTCCTGTGTACGCTAGAATGATATATATCACAAATGTACGTCAGCAGAAAAGACAGAGCAGGTTTTAAATGACATGAATTAAACTTCTGAGGAAGGCCGAACCTACATTTTGTCCACCTTTAAACACATTGTTCTTTCCAGATGGTAAATACAATATTTGACAATACATGCATTTAGGTTTGGTTTAGGAATTACCACATTATGATATTGGATATTACTCTGTCAGCGTGCGTAAGTATCTGATCATGAATGTTAAAGAGGGACAGCACTAGGTCTGATTCCCATTTTAGTCTAGCTTCAGAGTTTGAATTTTGTCCCTCGTGTGAAACTGAGACATTGTCTCCGTGTGCTGTATAATAAAATTGATATGCATCATGAGTGAGTGAGTGAGTGAGCTGGGTTTAACGCCGCTTTTAACAATATTCCAGTTATATCGCGGCGTGTCAGCTAACGTGGGAGGGAAACCCGAAGTGATGCAGGTCTTAGACGTTTACCACTTCGGTGAAACCCACGAGCACGGGTATGGTGCTGACAAACCTAGAAACATAATCGGGGCGAACCGGGATTCGAACCCACAATCATAGGTTTCTGACGTGCCCAAGGGACGCAACTCTGCACAGTGAATCGCGGCGCCTTAAACGACTGGGCCCCCCGTGCCCCTTAAACAGCGATATGTGTCTCACACATGCAAGTATGTATATTATAACCCATGTAATCATAGTTATTGAACATGCCCCTTTTATGAATAATATGAAATGTGCAATATATCTTCTAACTATTATAAACAAATGAGCATACATTGAGTTAACACAACGTTGAGCAGTATTCCAGTTATTATCAGCTATGTGAGATGGAAGCCCGAAATGATGCAGGTCTGAAACGGTTATTACTTGGTTGAAACCCATAAGCGTGGGTATGGTGTTGACAAACCAAAATGGACACTGGGATTCGAACCCATGGTCAAGATATCCGCGGATTTTTAGCGCTTTAAACAACCGGACAAGCCCGAATAGATAACAATATATATTTAGATCAGATGGTTGTAATCTAAAGATCCTAGTGGACAAACAGACATGAGCCGTTTCAATATTTATACGTCCACACCAACCTTCAGACGCACTCAGTGCGGTGTATCATTATTTCAGACCATCCACGTCTATCACGTAAAGCAATGCGGCCGTTCATTAACGAGTGTGCAGAACACAAAGTTTGTACAAACAAGACTTGCGCGCAGTAGCACAGAAAAGATGCTCATCACGAAGCCTTTAGCCCCAGTGTTCATTATTTGAACTTGTGGATACACAGCTACCTGCAGGTCTGTCACGGAAGTATGGACACCAATATCACGGTTGGTTACCCACGTGTGATGCATGTGACACACGCATGCCTATATGTGCTCCAGACACACCCATATCAATTACAGACACACCTGTATTTATCCCCGTAAATCACATTTCACAGATGCATAAACTTCCATGTCGTTGTGACATGGACATGCCTAAAGTGCATGAATTTGTGACATACAGACATACAGACACACATACACACATGCAAACAAAAAGACATACAGACATACATTGTCTGGTGCAGATGTAGCTATCTCTGATTCAGATACCATCTGGTACAGGTAACTCGACCTGAGACTTACTAACTGTAATAAACACTTACATATAATTGCGTTTACATGTAACGGAAACATCTACATGGAAGGGAACCTCTTGTGGACTCCTACATGAAAAGGAAGACTGTTTTGAACAACTACATGAAAGAAAACCTCTTGTGAACACCAACATTAAAGAGAACCTGTTGTGAACACCTACATGAAAGAAAACCTCTTGTGAACACCAACATTAAAGGAAACCTGTTGTGAACACTTACAAGAAAGGGAACCTGTTATGGACACCTGCATGAAAGGGGACCTATTGTATACACCTACATGAAAGGGAACCTATTGTAGACACCTACATGAAAGGGAACCTTTTGTAGACACGTACATGAAAGGGAACCTGTTGTAGACGCCTACATGAAAAGGAACCTGTCGTGAACACTTACAAGAACGAGAACCAGTTGTGAACACCTACATGAAAGGGAACCTATTGTAGACACCTACATGAAAGGGAACCTTTTGTAGACAAGTACATGAAAGGGAACCTGTTGTAGACGCCTACATGAAAAGGAACCTGTCGTGAACACTTACAAGAACAGGAACCTGTTATGGACACCTGCATGAAAGGGAACCTATTGTAGACACCTACATGAAAGGGAACCTTTTGTAGACGCCTACATGAAAAGGAACCTGTCGTGAACACTTACAAGAATGGGAACCAGTTGTGAACACCTACATGAAAGGAAACTTGTTGTAGACACCTACATGAAAGGACACCTGTTGTAGACACCTACATGAAAGGGAACCTATTGTAGACACCTACATGAAAGGACACCTATTGTAGACACCTACATGAAAAGGAACCCGTCGTGAACACCTACAAGAACGGGAACCAGTTGTGAACACCGACATGAATGGGAACTTGTTGTAGACACCTACATGAAAGGAAACCTGTTGTAGACACCTACATGAAAGGGAACCTGTTGTAGATACCTACATGAAAGGGAACCTGTTGTAGATACCTACATGAAAGGGAATATGTTGTAGACACCTACATGAAAGGGAACCTCTTGTAGATACCTACATGAAAGGGAACCTAATGTGAACACCAACATGAAATGGGCCTGTTATGGACACCTACTTGAAAAGGGAAACGGTTGTAGACACCTACATGAAAGGAAACCTGTTGTAGACGCCTACATGAAAAGGGAACCTGTTGTAGACACCTACATGAAAAGAAACCTGTTGTAGACACCAACATGAAAGGACACCTCTTGTAGACACCTACATGAAAGGGAAACTGTTGTAGACACCTACATGAAAAGGAACCTCTTGTAGATACCTACATGAAAGGAAACCTTATGTGAACACCAACATGAAATGAACCTGTTATGGACACCTACATGAAAGGGAACCTGTTGTGAAAACCGACATGAAAGGGAAACCGTTGTAGACACCTATATGAAAGGGAATATGTTGTGAACACCTACATGAAAGGGAATCTGTTGTGAACACCTACATGAAAGGGAACCTGTTGTAGACACCTACATGAAAGGGAATATGTTGTAGACACCTATATGAAAGGAAACCTGTTGTGAACACCTATATGAAACGGAACCCCTTGTGAACACCTACATGAAAGGGTATATGTTGTAGACACCTACATGAAAGGGAATCTGTTGTGAACACGTACATGAAAGGGAACCTGTTGTAGACACCTACATGAAAGGACACCTGTTGTAGACACCTACATGAAAGGGAATCTGTTGTGAACACCTACATGAAAGGGAATATGTTGTAGACACCTATATGAAAGGAAACCTGTTGTGAACACCTACATGAAAGGGAACCTCTTGTGAACACCTACATGAAAAGGAACCTGTTGTAGATACCTACATGCAAGGGAACCTGTTGTAGACACCTACATGAAAGGGAACCTGTTGTAGACACCTACATGCAAGGGAACCTGTTGTAGACACCTACATGAAAGGACACCTCTTGTGAACACCTACATGAAAAGGAACCTGTTGTAGATACCTACATGCAAGGGAACCTGTTGTAGACACCTACATGAAAGGGAACCTGTTGTAGACACCTACATGCAAGGACACCTGTTGTAGACACCTACATGAAAGGACACCTGTTGTAGACACCTACATGAAAGGAAACCTTTTGAAGATATCTACATGAAAGAGTGGACGTGCTGTGGGCACCCAATATTTACATGAAACGGACTGACGGTAGGGAAAACTCATACATTGAATATGTTCATATGAGATGGATGGATAAAAGGACGCACAGCCAGATAGATACGAACACAGCACCGACCAAAGATGTTTATCGCGGAGCATTCGGAAGTGAAAAGTCACATACCTAACCGGGTCATAGCAAACCTACCGTACAGAACCATACTCTCAGAGTCACTGCCAAGAATATTGGAAGCTGCACACGTATATTCCCCGAAATCCTCATCATCAAGCACTCGTATCCTTAGGCTCAGAGTGATGGTATTATCGGCATCATTGTAAAGTTCTATCCGGTGTTTGGCACTGTTCTGGATCTCGTTCCCCTGCCACGTCCAATAGCTTATCTCCAAGGGGTTTGCTGTGATAACACATTCCAAAATGGTCTCCTTTCCCATCACCTGGCCGATCCTCTTGTTCGGAAGCCGAACTTCAGGAGGAACTGAAAAGAAGATGTGAATATATGGTTAAGAGTTTTAAATGTTCGCCCCCGGACTGTGTTCCGTCTTGGGACGGCAATCACACTCCGTGTGTTTATTTGCGATATAATTGAGTCTGGGGCAGGTAAACAGTAGTTGATCTCATGACCAAAGTCCCACTCGCAATCAGTCACATCACCGAGCCAATACTGTCGCCTCCTACGACAAGCAACAGAGGGCTGTGGTTCTATTCCATCTCTGATGTCCACAAGATATGACTACTCGTAACTTGTTGACGTTGCTTTAGGGGCTACATTGTGTTACAGTGAAATCATCTGACCATGGTTGTGCGTAAATATTTGTCACAGAAATATATACACACTAAGACATATAAACGTTACCGTTAACGCTGTTAACGAAACTGTCATTCAGAACGCCATGATCGCGTTTATCAACCTCGGTTCCAGCTGCTAAATGCCTAACATATTGAGAACACCTTCTCGTTAACAAATGCTGGATCTTTCCTCTTCTATCTTTGCGGAGTATGTGTGCAACATGCCCTGTCCCTTGCATTTGGTGTTTCTCGAGGTTAACATCCATTTATGATGCATACATTATTGAATCAAGTTCGAAATCTTTTCTGAGACAATCAGATTATTTACAGAATATTGACAATTATGATGGTGAGCGTCTGGTCTTGTGTACTGTGTATTGTGATTTTATTATACAGTTGACATTTGCTACAGACGTTTCCTTCATTGTGTATTTATATCAACTCCAGCAGATAATGCCATTTCCAGCCAATTGCTTATCTAAAACTATGTCTGTCTCACCTGCTGATGTCACACTTTGAATACTAAGTATGTCTTTATCCTAAAATTACTTGACGATCTATGACATCTTGCCCCAGTCTACCTGTTAAGGGATCTACTGTAAAGTGTAACCTTTCTATGAATATGTAGCTTCCATTCTGTCATTGGCCTTTTAAGTTACACACACACACACACACACACATGTATAATACATGTGTTGCTGTGTATAAATATATATTTTTAAAACAATAGGAACAGTTGGTCGCAAATGTATATTCAAACAAAGGTCATTAATTGTGAATAAAAGAGACAAAACCCTTCCCATTATCATAAGAAATGTCAATTGAATCCCTTGTACGATTAATGTGTTTATGAATCAGACAAACAATTCATCTGATTCACGAATTTGTGTCCGCTGGTATGACCTTTGATTAAACATGACTGAATTTGGTACGATTCCGATTCTATCATAAGCATGTGCGTCATCAGTGATTTTCGATGATCGATTCAAATTATTTTCATCGTTGCTGTGCATTTTAAGCTCAATGGAATCTGTTACATCGGTTGGATAATCGAGATTGAAAGTTTTCTGGCATTGACGGTATATATAAATGAATCAAACGGACTCGTTTTAAAATCAATGAAACTGTTAAATTCCATCATTAAAGAATTATACTTTCTTGTCTGTCTCTAAAACGTTTTAAAACAGCATACGAAATGAACAAAGTACAAATAAGTAGTCGTGTAAAGTGTTTGTTTTGTTTTACATATAATAGCGCCAATGGCATAGTGATACATTGAAACGTTAAGTGAGAATACTATATAGTGTGACGTCTGGGCTTAGTGACCTAAGATATTTTGACTCCTGTCCAGAGGCCAAAGGGTCGTTTTCATGGATTGCAATATCACTGTAATTGGCTGAGAGAAACATGCGAAATAATCACTTCTGGACCATGCAGTATGGTACACTAAACGCGACAAAGCCATTTCTATAGCCATACGAAATCTTTGTTTCAAGAGGTGTCTGTTTTTGCACGGGGTATTTAACGTTAGACAACTGAACTTAATCAAGGTTCCTTATTTCAGTCACGGCAACAACAGGTATTCTCAGAACGGATTAAAATGCCAGGCCGCACCTTTCGACGTCTTGATTTGTCATGCCAGACGGTAGAGGTGAACATAACTGTTCTATAAGAATGAGTCACTAAGCCTCTGTTCCAGCGAGTTGTGTAACGCCGCTTTGAGTTTGTATTTCAGTTATATCACGGCGTGTCAGGGTTATTATAAGGAATGTTAAGTGACACGGTTCGTAGACATTAGCGTCTTCGTGCACAAGTAAGATGGTAATTGCACTCTATATATATTGAGACTGTGTCCATACTTTCTTGGTGTGTACGTAATACAGAAATAACACAAGTAACTACGATGCCAAAATACTCTTGGTTATATGAGAATATAATTGTATAAATATTTGGTGTGTTATAAATATATGACCTTACTTGAAAAAAGGACCATCAGAGACCAGCCATTAAACCGTATAGAAATACCCCATGAAATATACTTACAGTCTACGGTGACTTTGATAAGTCTGTTCGCGGCTGGAGGAACACCGTTGAAGGCGACGCACTCATAAGTGTCGCCACAGTAGCGGGTGACGTTGTGGATGAGGAGGACCTCTCCGCTCATTCCTATCCCTGTTGTCACAAGCATAGCTACTTTCAAATTATTCGCACTGTAACAGCGCGACGAGAAAATATGCATATGCACGCATGCAATTCTCATAATAAAAATAATTTATATTTTCATGTATAAATCAAATCATAACATTGTGTCGTTATCTGACTCGTGGTCATTGCAATCAAAATTCGGATATGAATCTCCCCTATTCACATTGTGTAGATACTATTCTTATTATAAACAGTTCTACCACACTGAGTGACCTTTGTCCACACCGGACCGCCTCCGTGGTCTAGTGGTAGAGCGTCCACCCATAGAGCGGAAGGTTCGGGGTTCGATCCCCAGCCGTGTCATACGTTAAAAGATGGTACTTGTTGTTACCCTGTCTGGCGTTCGGCATTAAAGGGCTAAAGCAAGGACTGGACGGCTCGGAGTCAGTATACTTTGTCTGAGTGAGGCATTAATGTTAATCTGCAACACGTCGCAATATAAGTGCAATACTCTTGGACGTGACGTTAAACCCCATTTCACCTCACCTCACTTCTTCCCCATTAAAAAACGAAAGCTTATCATTTATTACCTATTCAGTTTTATTTTTTGCGGAAAAAACTCCAATGATGCTGCACTGTCTTACTAATTTAAACAACTTTGTTGTCTAGGAGGCATAAAACGTCGCGTCTTAGACCATAGCCTTAGCAATTCCCAATGTTTAAGTATCTAGATGTATTTTTTAAAACTTGATACGAACAAACCACCCCAAATTCTGCAATACACAATATGTCCTTCAAGATTTGTTCTCTCTGGCAAAAAAATAATATGCCTCATCAAATAATCTTTTCTGAACCCGTAATATTTAAGAAATTAGATATTAACGGGTAAACATGTATGGAACGCAAATTAGTCTGTAGAGGCCCTTCTGAAAATCCATACTGAATACTAGATGATTTCTGAATCATCAAATAAGCACAGAAACAAAACACTGGCGATTAAGCTTTGACAAACAATGGAAAAGCAAATGCAAACAAAATTATTTATCATTACGCCAACTTTGTCCGCTGGTATTTCGCTACCGCATGTTATATATCTTACTTTCTTTCTCGACGTCATCGTCGGTAATCCTGTGCCTATACCACGTGATTGTTGGCGTTGGGATGCCTGACACATTACATATCAAGGTCACCGTATCTCCTTCACGCACAGTGATATCCTCTGATGATATCTCATGGTTGATTTTGGCAGGTACTGAAATGTAGATATTGATATGAGAATACATAAAATATTGTTTTTAACATTATTATCAGTTTGCGATTTTGTTATGTTGCTGTCTTGAGACCATAAAATAATTATAAATAATCGTGTACACCCTCAAGAACACAGAGACGCTAAATCTTAAAAGCTGTTGAAATGAAATAATCAAAAGTCGATTTCTTAGTTTTATTGTCAAAACGCACGGAGACGAACTCAAACACACACAACTACACAGTCCAGCACTCACTCGTGAGGGGCGGTCGGGTAGCCTAGTGGTTAAAGCGTTCGCTCCTCACGCCGAAGATCCGGGTTCGATTCCCGACATGGGTACAATGTGTGAAGCCCATTTCCGGTGTCCCCCGCCGTGATATTGCGGGAATATTGCTCAAAGCGGCGTAAACCCTCACTCACTCACTCACTCGTGAACGCACACAAGCACCCGCGCATGTACACTGCCACACGGGTGTATGTTTCAGTACATGGAATGAGTCCATAAACTTAACCAAAGACCAGTTTTGTGAATTTTACTTGATAGGGCACAACAAAAAAGTCAAGTAATGTCTCCCCTTGGTTGGTTTATGTAATGATAGAAATAAAAGCGACAAAGGATTGCCAGAGACACAAGAGTCTTAACTAAAAACAGAGTTGATTGTGTGATTCCGAATGTATCATGATCATTTGTTCGGGGTTTTTTGGTTTTGTTTGTTGTTTTACGCCGTACTCAGCAATATTCCAGCTATATGACGGCGGTCTGTAAATAATTGAGTCTGAACCAGACAATCCAGTGATTGATATCAATAACATCGATCCACGCAATTGGGATCGATGACATGCATCAACCAAGTCAGCGAGCCTGACCACCCGATCCCGTTAGTCGACTCTTACGACAAGCAGAGTCGCCATGTACGGCAAGCATGGATTGCTGAAGACCTATTCTACCCTGGATCGTCACGGGTCACTGGATCGTCCGGGAATAACAATCAAATAGTGATGCCACCAGATGTTCGCGAAAAGGGAAGGACCTCAGCCATGGTGAAGTGTAACATTCTCACATATGTAACTATCCAGGACTTAACTGTGCAGGATGACACTTATCCTACTTTACGCATAACTTGACACGGCTTTGATACAACTTCCTATTATTACTCTTTCCCACGCATCCATCGTTGAAAGGTGTTAATTTTTCATTGGGTAAATCTCTTTTGACTTTCAATGGCAGAGGTCAATAGATTCTTTCAACATGCGAGAACGTCGCGCCAACAATATAAATTAAATATTGCAATGATGGTGAGTACTTTAGTGACTTAATGGCACGAGAAACAAAAACATTCCAGGCAGCAAAGTAGACTTCTGCCTCGAAACTTCCAGACAATGTATAGATCAGCTAAATGGAAAAAAAACATCACCAATATAATAACAGTGAAGAAGATTAATTTATCAAACAGCCTCAAACTAAATCTAGATTTTCAGCCCTTTACATATATGACTATAGCTAATGTATATGTTTCATTATTCATAGAAAATACCATCTGATAGTTCTGTTTATTACCATAAGCAACTTAATATACCAATGATTTAATGCGTCAGTCAATGTTGATCAAGGTGTGAGAAACGACAAAAATTAAACCGTCATCGTAAAATATGACCGTTCGTTTCTTAAAATGGTATCCCCGATAAATGTCACATTAACTGCAGATAAGCACGTCATTGCTCTGAATTTTTCATGAGAAAAGTCTTCTTTATCTTCTCAAAAGTCCCAGGGGTCCATTTTCTTGTGAGGAAAACCAACAATGAAAGACATTCTTTATACTACCGAGTAATACTTCTGGACAAAGGCTCCTAGGATCAGATGGCAGTGTCTGGCTACTTGGCTGCTGAACGTCATAGAGTACAGAAAGAAATGTGAGCAATATGATGGAACAAGACAACCCTTTAGACAGTCGTAAACATGTGTATATAGTTTCAACATCTGCACAGAAAACTAAAGAAGTCGGTGGAACTGCAGCGAAAGGACAATTTGTATGCCTTTATAAAAGCATTAACATTATTGCGAAATGTAATCTCTCTGGGCTTTGCATAAGTATAAAGATATCACACGGCGTCATAATGATAAACACATCGAACTTTACATGGAGATTATATAGCGTCCCTACACTTGTTATCCTTAAGAATGTGTTTAATGTAGTAATACAGTAAAAGCGATCGAAGTCGTTTGTGAAAGTTCAATTCAAAATTCCCCAGCTAGTGATGATGATTGGTGAGTATAGATAGTCAGTTAATATTGCGGCAATATCACGTCTGGAAGCACTAGATATGGGCTTCACACATTGTACCCATGTTTGGAATCAAACCTGGACACTCTGAACCCTGTTAAAGCGGAAACCCTGCCTTTAGGGCGATTGCTGCTGAGAACGTCCACGTGTGTGGACAAAACTTCATAACCATGACGTACTCATCAACCGATACTTCATATTGAATTTTATTACGCGGCCGTGAAGAGATCACCCGTTTAATAAACATACAGCTGTATTACAGTGTAATGCCAAACCGCGTTCTTATGTACTGCGGGAACAAGTTTCACTGAAAAATATTTAAAATTAAACTCCAAGCATCTCTTGGCTTTTTCAATGACATAGCGTGTAGAGATGAATACTAAACTCGCTCCCGTGTAATACCAATTTTATGAAACTCATAAATACTATTCACTCGTTTCATATAACTAGTACCACACACGAACTCTTTAATCTATATTTGAAACAGGGGTCGACCTCGAACTGTTTCTACCTTATTATTAGAAGTAAAGAGGAAGTAAGGCTTAATGCTGAGGGAGGGAAATATGCTCTTTAATAGTTTTTGTAAAAAAATCTGAAGAAACATATCTTGCATGTATCTTCAAGGCATTCCATACGATAGAATGGTAACTAAAAACAAGCTATGTTATGTGTTGTTAACATGAATTATGGTAATGGTTTTTAATCCACGTTCCCATGTTATTCTAAGGCTATTCATTCATCTCCTGCTGTTAGACAAGACGACAGGAATATCCCCATTCTAGTCGACAATTCGATTTGAATATATATGCCTCTACATTGAGGAAAGTATAGCAGTGAAATTATCCTTATATAACCAAATGATTAAGACAAGGAATTAAACGATTTTGCATAGCGCTCTTGACAGTAGTTCAACACAGGCTTGTTCGGTAGGTGTATTTGTGGACTCTAACGGCACTTTTAACAGAATTTCAGTGAAGCTAATTTTGATAGAAACATGGTAGATATGAAAGACGTCAACAACCTCGGTGACGCCAGCAACCACGGGAACATTGGACGCTAAGAAGCCAAGGATCATAAGAAGGTTTAATCTGAATGTGTGTTTGTGTGTGTGTGTGTGTGTACGTGTATGTGTGTATGCATGTGTAGTGTGCGTATGTGTGTGAGAGTGTGTGTATGTTTGTGAGTGTGTATGTGTTTGCGAGTGTGTATGTGTGAATGTGTGTGTATGTGTATGTGAGTGTGAGTATGTGTGTGTGTGTGAGTGTGTCCAGTGATTGATATCATGAACATCGATCCACGCAATTGGGATCGATGACATGCATCAACGAAGTCAGCGAGCCTGACCACCCGATCCCGTTAGTCGCCTCTTACGACAAGCATATTCCCCTTTTACAGCAAGCATGGGTTGCTGAAGACCTTTTTGACCCTGGATCTTCACGGGTTTGTATGTGAGCACGTGCGGGTGCGCGTGTGTGAATGTGTGCGTGCGTGTGCGTACGATTGCTGTTAACCATTATTTTTTATGGCTACTGACATCTGATTTGTCTCGACACAAAACTTTGTGTGGGTTTTACAAAGTATAGATGTATATTTCTAAATATAAGGGAATTGTTTTTGTAAAACATGGTTTCAAGAACAATTATATAAATGTCATCTTGAAAAGATGTGAAGATTATTTACATGTGATGTGTCTTGTTGCAGTTATTCGACACGCAACATGTCCTTTATGGAACATTTCAAAGAGCAACAAATACATGACATCCCATACAAGGAGTAAGTCGCCTTATGGATTCGAAAAGGAGTCATTGTCATCGCAGTATAATACATGTTTCCATAAAACTTGGAACAGTACTTATTGTCATTATAATTGAGTGGTGGTTTTACGTCCCTTTTAGCAATATTCCAGCAATATCACGGCGGGGGACACGAGAATTGGGCTTCACACATTAATCCCATGTTGGGAACGAACCTGGGCCTTCGGCGTGACGAAAGAACGCAATGAAACACGTTCTGCCTGCCTGCCTGTCTGTCTGTCTGTCTGTCTGTCTTTCTGTCTGTCTGTCTGCCTGCCTGCCTGCCTGCCTGTCTGTCTGTCTGCCTGCCTGTCTGTCTGTCTGTCTGTCTGTCTGCCTGTCCGCCCGCCTGCCTGTCTGCCTGCCTGCCTGCCTGCCTGCCTGCCTGTCTGTCTGTCTGCCTGCCTGCCTGCCTGCCTGCCTGTCTGTCTGTCTGTCTGCCTGCCTGTCTGTCTGTCTGTCTGTCTGCATGCCTGCCTGCCTGTATGTCTGCCTGTCCGCCCGCCCGGCTGGCTGCCTGCCTACCTGCCTTCCCGACTGTCTGCCTTCCCGACTGTCTGTCTGCCTGTCTGCCTGTCTGCCTGTCTGTTTTAGGTTTATATGTAGCCGTCTAAAGCGCCACAGATTGTATCCCTTGGACGCGCCAGAAACCTTTTATCGTAGGCTCGAATCCAAATTTCGCCTGGATCATACTTGTAGACGTGTCAACACCATACATGTGCTCGTGGTCAACGTCTGTGGCCTACCTTTTATCGGGCTTACCTCTCACGTGGAGCTGAAACGTCACAATAAAACTGAAATACTGTTCAAAGCGGCGTTAAACCAAGCTCACTCACTACATACATGTCGATCTATGTACATATTGGAGAAGAGCTCGAGCTATCGGCGTAAGACGTGATAAGCATGGCAGTACATCTGCACCGTGTACATGCTACCAAAGGGGGCACGGGTGGTCCAGTCGTCTAAGCCGCAGCGACTCGCTATGCAGAGTTGCGTCCCTTGGGCACGCCGGACACCTATGATTGTGGGTTCGAATCCCGGTTCGCCCCGATTATGTTTCTAGGTTTGTCAGCACCATATACCGTGCTCGTGGGTTTCACCGAAGTGGTAAACGTCTGTGACCTGCATTACTTCGAGCTTTCCTCCCACATTAAGCTGACATATATAACTGGAATACTGTTAAAAGCGGTGTTAAGCCCAACTCAGTCACATGCTACCAAAGCTACGTGTATGGGGACGCTGTCTCTAAACACACGGACAAGGAAAATAAAGATGATACGGTAAGGGATTAACCTTTGTAGCATTCTTGTTAATTATGAATTTATATGTTATGAAGTAAATATGAACGAGTGCGTTTACATTTATCATTCCCATGTGTGTGAAGTAGAGCAATTGAGGTAATTCGACATCAAAAGGTTTCTCAAATTAAATTACATTCATGACAAGAATACACGTAATATTAAACAATATGACAAGCTTTGTATCAGGATATCGAGACAGTTTTACACCGTTATTTGATGTTCATGTACTGAATACAGACGGTAGCTCGGACAAACCTTGAACTCTCAGATGAACTGTTTTGATTTTGACTGGCGTCGTGTTGATCTGGCAGTTGTACCCTCCCTGGTCGCTATGTTTGGCGGCCCGGATATGAAGATTCCAATCTCTTGTGTACGGACGTTCCACGCTCAGGCGCTCATCGTCAATGATGCGACGGTCCTCAAAGGTCAGTAGTGTTGACCACTGGTCGGTCCATATTACCTTTGCAGCAAGAACATCAATGAGAGGTCAGTACAGTTCCTGATCACCTTTACATAGAATACAGCATGAGGGGTCAATCATCATCGTTTAATCAGTATATTAGTTCTATTACGATAAGTGTGGGGGCACGGGTGGCCCAGTCGTCTTAGGTGCCGCGATTCGCTGTGCAGAGTTGCGGCCCTTGGGCAGGCCAGAAACCTATGATTGTGGGTTCGAATCCCGGTTAAACCCAATTATGTTTCTACACTCTAGGTTTGTCAGCACCATACCCGTGCTCGTGGGTTTCACCGAAGTGGTAAACGTCTGAGACCTGCATCACTTCGGGCTTTCCTCCCACATTAAGCTGACACGCTGTGATATAGCTGGGATACTGTTAAAAGCGGCGTTAAACCCAACTCACTCGCTACGATAAATGTCATGGACCTATTCGCTACAAAACCGTTGTTCGGAGACAGATTGGAGGGCACGGGTGGACCAGTCGTCTAAGGCGCCGCGATTCGCTGTGCAGAGTTGCGTCCCTTGGGCACGCCAGAAACCTATGATTGTGGGTTCGAATCCCGGTTCGACCCGATTATGTTTCTAGGTTTGTCAGCGTCATACCCGTGCTGGTGTGTTTCACCGAAGTGGTAAACGTCTAAGACCTGCATTACTTCGGGCTTCCCTCCCACATTAAGCTGACACGGACGCGATATGACTGGAATACTGTTAAAAGCGGCGTTAAACACACTTATTCACTCCGAGTCCGATGTGTATAGCTTTAAAATAGCCGTCCAATCAAATTACTCTGATGAGCGAAAGAAATTCTGTGGGGTGAGGGACGGAGCGATGAAGATAGTGAAGTCACTTCCGAAACGAATCGAGGATAAATATCGATGAATCAACTGAATGGAGATATAATACACTTGATAATCGAGGATGATGGTCATTACGATTCCACAAGTATAATCCAGTACACTGTGGATATAGTGAGTGAGTGAGTGAGTTAGGTTTAACGCTGCTTTTAACAGTATTCCAGTTATATCACGGCGTGACAGCTTAATGTGGGGGGAAAGCCCGAAGGGTCTCAGACGTTTACCACTTCGGTGAAACCCATGAGCACGGGTATGACGCTGACAAACCTAGAAACATAATCGGGGCGAACCGGGATTCGAACACAAAATCATAGGTTTCTGGCGTGCCCAAGGGGCGCAACTCTGCACAGCGAATCGCGGCGCCTTAGACGACTGGGCAACCCGTGCCCACTATAATTACAGTAAAGAAATGTACTAGAATTAAGCCATAGCGAATTAAGATTATTAAATTCATAATTGCTAGATTATGCAATATATTTTTTTATAAACACAACGTAGGCATGTTACAAGATTTACATTTAGTTGTCTGAGAAATTGATAAACACATATTATTTTCCATTATAAAAACATATACATAAATAAAAAATATTTATGTTTGGTGTAATATCGTAAGTAGAGTATTACTTTATAAAAATGCAGAAAAGGGAAACAAGTACCTTCAATAAACCCGGCTGCGAAAATTCGAGCTGTTAAACGACTGCGTTAAATCCCCAATATGTATTGCATGTTATAGAGCTAACGTTAAAAGGTCATCGTACAACTAGATATTCACGCGAGGCTTGTTCAAAGAATAAACCAAATTGCATAAGATATGCGCTCAGAGCTGTATATTTTTTCCTGTTCATATCAACACAAAGGTTAAGTCCTCGCAGCTCCTCAGTCCAATGATACACCTGTGTTCTATGATGGAGAGGATTATCGTTCCAAAATGCTGGTAGACCCCTAACAGTTGCTCTACACTTTATCCCGCTCAGTCACGCGATCCTAGTGGTTCTTGAACGCTAACCACCCACCGTCAGGAGGAATTCTCTCCGTCAGAGGCAAGTTAAATGTATGGCTTCTACCTAGATAACAACGCTTCATCATTGATCCTAAATGTAACTGTCCAAGCAATAAAAGCGCACGATGCGTCCCCGGCACACCGGTTTAAAATGGCTTTCCTTTAGAACATTTACGCTCTGAACTGTCAACAGAGACTTGACTATTATCGCTAGCCTGATGTGAGCGATATTTGGTTTAACATTAACTCTGTTGATTTTTTCCCATTAAAGTTATTCGAATTTCAGTATCTGTAGATGGAAACAATAATAAAAGTGCAAAGGTTTGCTTCCTTAAATTAATACTTATAGGATCGGTAATTAAATTTAAGATGAGATGTACAGAGACACGGTATAATAATTTCATTCTGCATCAGAATACGAGTACGTCCTTTCATCATACCATTTTAGTCGCAATGGCCGACCAAGGAGGACTGGATGGTCGATGGCTGGATATTTGATCATGCTGTCATTAACTGGTTGGGGCACGGGTGGCCCAGTCGTCTAAGGCGTGCAGAGTTGCGTCCCTTTGGAACGCCAGAAACCTATGATTGTGGGTTCGAATCCCGGTTCGCCCCGATTATGTTTCAAGGTTTGTTAGCGTCATACCCGTGCTCGTGGGTTTCACCGAAGTGGTAAACGTCCGAGACCTGCATCTCTTCGGGGTTTCCTCCCACATTAAGCTGTCACGCCGTGATATGACTGGAACACTGTTAAAGGCGGCGTTAAACCCAATTCACTCACTCACTCACTCATCTACTGGTTTGACTCTATACTTTAGAGGACACCGTGAAAAACATGCAATTTTGCTGAGTGCGGCGTAAAACAGCATTCACTCAATTAACACTTTCAATTGTTAGTTTTAGTTACCTGGTGTTTGCCGAGATTTTTAACAGAGCATGGTAAAATTGCAGTCATTCCTTCTCTCACGGTGACGTTCATGAAGGGGACGTCAAAACTCGGCGTGATCTTCTGTCCGTCTGAAACGAGATACATACAGTCTACAGAGGGCCACGCCCTTGACCTACACTGTCAAGAGGTCACGGCCACAGCATATACAGTCTAGAGGGCGGGGCGGATTGAGCATTTAAAACATTTAAACATGGACTTTATTCAATTCTTCATAACGCATTATAAATTCTGAGAGAGATAAAGATAATTGAAAAGAACCATATGAATATGCAATATGCATGACATTCGTCTTTTGGGTGATGGAATTGTATCCGTGCTGTTCCTATCAATTTGTTTTCAATCTCCTTCAAGATAATTTTTATAATGAGTTCAAAAAAGATAAATAATTGCCCCCTTCTTAAATTCGCGTATGATGAATGTCCTTCTTGTTTGATTTTTTGACTCAGAAAAGACTGAATGCAATAGCACGATTAACGGAAAATAGAAAATATATATTGTATTTATATATCAACATATATTTATTTTTCATGAATCTTAAAATGGTCATGTTCTAACGAAAGGAAATCAGAAAAGTAAACACATTATTTCTTTCAACGCGAAAGTTTCTGTTTGCCTTTTGGGATCTTGATTCATTAATTGAAATTTATTCATTAGCTGCAGTAACACAGTTTATCGTTGTAATGATTTTTTCCTGAATATTATTATCCCTTCCCTTGCCTACCTGTCACCAGACTTTGTAATCATATTAATCACAATTTGCTTTGTACGGAAGTGATTACAGTAAACTACGGTTATAACGAACACGCTTATAACGAACTGACGGATATAACGAACTTACTTTTTATTGTCCCGACGACTTGCTGTAGTTATGCTGTATATGTGCTTATAACAAACTACGGTTATAACGAACTAAAATTAGTAGTCCCTTTGAGTTCGTTATAACCGTAGTTTACTGTATAATGATTGATATACGTGCACGTTGATAATACGGCACCAACTACCCAAACATAGAACCGTAGAAATCTCGAATGTCGGAATACACCTGCTTGTCGACCATACGATATATCGAATTGTTTGTAATCACCTGAATTGGATACGGAAACCTTCGGACAAAGAGACGCGCCTGCCACTTGCCTTGAGTCGACCCCACATAAAACATACAGCCGCTATATAACAAGCTCAAAACAAGTACTCGTGTATATATGAACCACATGAATCTAATCATCAGAAATCCATTTATGCACGTATAGTCTTAACTCCCAAATGGGTATCGATGGACGTCACAATGGCTAGATGGCACAGTCAAATTGGGTGATCGAAACTATCGTTTATCAGAGCGTCCATTGCCACATCGGTAAATTGTGAAGATAAAAACCCAAACGAACTAGGTCGTTACTTTACTTGGTTCACTCTGCGTGTGTTGGCACTGTGCATGGCCCGAACATATTGCCCAGTGGACTATTAAGGGAGATAAGGCCACGGAAGAAACGGGTGAAAGGTTGTAATGGTCAAGACGCTGATACGAGCGACGCGAAAATATCCAACATTTGCCTCTGTATAATATTACAATATTTCCACCATAATGATCAGAGTGACATCAACAAGACGCGTGTATCAAATCCTTCAAGCAAGGGAGGTGTAGGTGAGGTGAAATGGGGTTTAACGTCGCGTCCAAGATTATTGCACTTATATAGCGACGTGCATGTACGTGTGTGTGTTTGTGTGGCTGCTTGTACTAGTCCGGACTGATGCCGATTTATAGTGCTAGCTCACTGAGATACCATGCCGCAGTTTAACATGAAAACCCCACTCAGACACATTATACTGACTCCGAGCCGACCAGTCCTTGTTTTAACCCCTTAATGCCGAGCGCCAGACAGGGTAACAACAAGTACCATCTTTTAACGTCTTTTGGTATGACGCGGTCGGGGATCGAACCCCTGACCTTCTGCTTTCCGGGCGGACGATCTACCACTAGACCACGGAGGCGGTCTCACATAGTGTAAAAACACAGGCATGGTTATAGTTAGTTTTGTTTTGTGCTGCTTTGACCTGTACTTCTGTATATCTGCGCGTCAGCCTCATGTAGGAGGAAGGCCTTACATTTTGCAGATGGAAGACGCTTTCCATTTTTTTGAAGCCCACATGCATATGTATGGTCCTCCCTAACCAAGGATCATAATCAGGGCCAATCTGAGTTTCGTACCAAGAGCATAGGATCCTGGTCTACAGAGCCTACAGAGCGAATTGCGGCGCTTTTGACGTCTTGGTTACCAATGGTTATAGGCTTACACAAAATACTACAAATGTAACGTGAGTGAGTGAGTTTGATTTTACGCCGCTTGTAGCAATATCCCAGCAATATCACGGCGAGGGACGCCAGAAATGGGCTTCACACATTATACCCATTTCGGGAATCGAACCCGGGTTTTCGGCGTGACGAGCGAACGCTTAACCACCAGGCTACCCGACCGCCCCTACGAATTCAAGGATCTTCGGGGGAAGTAGATTTACAACTGAATTTGATATTGCCAGTAATTGATTTCACTTTTCAGTGCTTGATATGACCACCTGATACCGTACGCGCATCTTCAAACATATGTCAACCTTATAAAATATCTAAACTGACATTGAGAACTCTTGGCTATGTCTTTTAAAAGAAGCAAATATTTCCGAGGGACATTATTCTTTCTAATGTGAATGAGTTGTATAATGTAGATGCTTCAATTGTTTATTGGTTTTATTTATATTCATTACACAAAAATGTTTAAGGTAGTATAATGTTTAAGCTCATTAAAATTGCAATAAACATATCTTAAATCGAATTCTATGGAACTATTTCGATTTTCATTTTCATGTTATCAAACGTATATTCATGATGCTAAACTATTTTATGTGTAGTACAAATATCTTGACCTGTAGTGTTAGATAGCAGGGACACATCCAGTAACCAGATCAGCAAATATCTTGACCTGTAGTGTTAGATAGCATGGACACATCCAGTAACCAGATCAGCAAATATCTTGACCTGTAGTGTTAGATAGCATGGACACATCCAGTAACCAAATCAGCAAATATCTTGACCTGTAGTGTTAGATAGCATGGACACATCCAGTAACCAGATCAGCAAATATCTTGACCTGTAGTGTTAGATAGCATGGACACATCCAGTAACCAGATCAGCAAATATCTTGACCTGTAGTGTTAGATAGCATGGACACATCCAGTAACCAGATCAGCAAATATCTTGACATGTAGTGTTAGATAGCATGGACACATCAAGTAACCAGATCAGCAAATATCTTGACCTGTAGTGTTAGATAGCATGGACACATCCAGTAACCAGATCAGCAAATATCTTGACCTGTAGTGTTAGATAGCATGGACACATCCAGTAACCAGATCAGCAAATATCTTGACCTGTAGTGTTAGATAGCATGGACACATCCAGTAACCAGATCAGCAAATATCTTGACATGTAGTGTTAGATAGCATGGACACATCCAGTAACCAGATCAGCAAATATCTTGACATGTAGTGTTAGATAGCATGGACACATCCAGTAACCAGATCAGCAAATATCTTGACCTGTAGTGTTAGATAGCATGGACACATCCAGTAACCAGATCAGCAAATATCTTGACCTGTAGTGTTAGATAGCATGGACACATCCAGTAACCAGATCAGCAAATATCTTGACCTGTAGTGTTAGATAGCATGGACACATCCAGTAACCAGATCAGCAAATATCTTGACCTGTAGTGTTAGATAGCATGGACACATCCAGTAACCAGATCAGCAAATATCTTGACCTATAGTGTTAGATAGCATGGACACATCCAGTAACCAGATCAGCAAATATCTTGACCTGTAGTGTTAGATAGCATGGACACATCCAGTAACCAGATCGGCAAAGCACGTTATATGGCATTAGGTCATTCTAGTTAGGCTCTGAAATATGCATTCAGACCTCGGAGTGCGCCGTGATAGACTATTCTCACAGGGGAGGGTTTATCACTGACAACCAAAATTTTAATGTTTCCAAAGAAGCATGATATCCTTTCAAACGTGAACTTGTTGGATGTTTCTGACAGAAATGAATTAATTATTCTGCCCATGCCTAATGGACCAGACACATTATTAAGATCGATACCCCTTGGCACGAAACAGGCAAGGATGTCTATTTTCCGTTAATCGTGCTTTTGCATTCAGTCTTTTCTGAGTCAAAAAATCAAACAAGAAGGACATTCATCATACGCGAATTTAAGAAGGGGGCAATTATTTATCTTTTTTGAACTCATTATAAAAATTATCTTGAAGGAGATTGAAAACAAATTGATAGGAACAGCACGGATACAATTCCATCACCCAAAAGACGAATGTCATGCATAAGTAACATGTTTGAAAACATAAAGGATGAAAATTAATTATACGTAATACACACGGAATTAGTCTTGGAAATGTTAAAGTGTGTTAAGTGTGCGTCATTTTAGAACAACCTGCAGCTGCATAGTGAAATGTTTTATAATTACACATCTTGGCTCATTATTTTTCTCTGGGTCATCAAGCAAATGTGCAATAAATATGGTAAAATAACTATGATTATATCTATGTTTTGGTATTAATTATCATGCTTATTATGGCTCTACAGATTGGTCGATCTTCTGACAATGTACACAGCAAACCATTTGTTCAGACAGACAAAGGAGGCCAACTGCCATATTAATAAGGATAGAGGTAAAAAAGTTACTATTTTCTTTTCCATTCACGAAAATTGTACATCTATAATGGGGAATGAAATATTTCACGATAAGTGTGTAAAACATAAGTGTGTAAAAAATGCCAAGCAGGGTGTTATTGGAAACTTCGAATTTTCGAAGTTTTTTAATTTGAAAAATTAAACCTCGTGACTCGTGAAAGCATATAGGGGCATCTCCGGCCTGCAAAGAGGTAAGATTTACGTGATTAACTTCTAAAACAATCAAAGTTTGATGGATAAATCAGAACATGATTCGATACTCCTGAAAGCAACTTCATGTATACCCGATTAAATACTGAAACAGTATGA